GACTCTTAGATTGGTAGAAGCTTTATTGGGAAACTGGAAGAGCCGAATTAGGGCAATATAGCCAGAGAAAACAAAGAACAAGCCGTTGTAGTCCAGCTGCAGGCGAGGAAGAGTTGATTAGGACGCCTAATTGGGATATCCGATAGCTCCGGTCCGAGTCAATTGTTATAGTATAGCACAATATTCACGAGCCAAGGGCCAAGCCACGATCAATTGGTATATAACGACACTGAAAAAGACTTAACAAAGGAGTGACTACACCACCAGGACGCAGGAGGGGTACAACACCAACAAGCCAACTCTTTAACCTTCACCGCCGACTTAACCTCGTCACCGCCTGGCAAAAAAAGAACAAGAGTATCAACCCCCACATTATCCTTCTCATATTGAAGATATCAAGATGAGTTCTATTGAACGCATGTCCCCATTGGACCTGCTTGACCTTAATCTCACCAACCTTGACCCTCTTACTGAGAATTATGACCTCGGCTTCTACCTGAACTACCTGAACAAATGGCCCTCATTGTTCAGCACCGTCAAGGACCATGATGCTGGCATTGTAGGTTATAGTACGTTGAGCTCCAGTCCTAACTTGGCACATTATTCCCAAATCTTATAGACCAATATATCTAACATGATATTCTAGTTATGGGCAAGCTCGAAGAGCAACATCCTGCAATGCGCCACTCCGAGCACTACACTCCATGGCACGGACACATCACCGTCCTGACCGTTGCCCCAGCCTGGCGCCGTCTCGGATTTGCACGCAGATTGACCGAGCAGCTCGAGCGTGGATCAGACAGTAACAATGCCTGGTTTGTTGATCTCTACGTGCGCGCCGGAAATAAAGTTGCATATGACATGTACAAAGGAATGGGGTATGTCAATCGATATAGATGTGCAAATGCCGAATTGGTTGCTGACCTATATATTTTACAGATACTCCGTCTTCCGGCGGGTAGTCAATTATTACAGCGATGATCCATCTGGGATGTCGGATACTGGCGAAGATGCGTTCGATATGCGCAAGCCATGCAGTCGAGATAAGAATCTCGAGCATGTGCGAGAAAATGGTGAGAATTTCCCTGTTGGACCGGAGGATGTGATGTAAGCCATCCTTCTTTTGAGGTATTTTTGAGGTAGCCTGCATAACATGGCACTCTTTTCTTTTCTTTCGCGCCTTTTTCTTTCTCATGGCATGGAGGACTTATGCACTTGGGTTTATATGGATATCTTTTGCACACAACTGAACATATGATTATTATTTGTATTATTGTCAATTTACGTCTAAGTCTAACATGGAATCCGCCGTGTCTCCCACTGGCTGGATAGAAGCAAAATGAATTGCCGGGTGATAATGCAATATGCAGAATGAGGACCAAATGATGAAGTCAATGGTATATACTGTTGTCCCAAGATTTTGATGCCAAGAAATCGCTAGAATATCTGTGGCAGTGGGTATATCTTGCAAGATGTTTCAGCAACCAGTAGCTGAGACTCAAACCTTGGCACGGATCTTCAGACCCGAGCGCAGCAATCTCACACACATCATAAGAGCCGCAGACGTGCCGAGACAGCAAGCGGTGAAAAGCTGAACTCCGAGGAACTGGTTTGTATCGCCCAGGATTGCACCACCGATAGGGGTACCAATCAGCAGACCAATGGAGGTGATAGCAAAAACCATACCCAAGCGTGTGCCCAGGTTTCGCACGTCCGGAGTCATACTCGCCATGACCACAGGCGGCAGAGACACAAAACCACCGGAAAAGAAGCCGTAGAAGACGGCAAGGACGATGATGCCAGGTACGGTGTGAACCCTGATCCAGACAAAGGCCAGGATGGTAGTGATGGTCACGGCTGGTGTGAGCATATTCAAAGGGCCAAGGTGATCGGCGAGGAAGTTGGGTGCAATACGGCCGCAGGCGGAGGCGGCGTTTAGCATGGAGAGTAGGTAGAATCCTAGGTTCTCGTCTACAATTCCCGTCTGTATTGCGTATGACTGCACATAGAAAAGGAAGTTGTAGAAACCCAAGAAGCCCATGAACATGGCAATGGCGAAAACGGTAAATGCCGGCTCCTTGAAGGCAGACAGCTGGTAGAGCTTGCGCTTCTCCTTGGGCTTGAAACGCGAGCGCATGATACTAATAGAAATGCAAATGGTGCCAAAGCAGACGAACCCAAGTGCTCGAGTAGCCCAGGGAAAACCGACCTTCTTCTCCAACTGATCGAACATGATTGGGTAGATGACACCACCGATACTACTTCCACTGGCAGCCAAGCCGTTGGCTAGGCCTCTTTTACGGTGGAAGTACTGTGGCAGGATGGCAACGGAGGGTACGAAAAGACAGCCTGCTGCGAGTCCGACGCAAATTCCCTGGGAGAGAATCAGATGCCAGTATGCTGTGGCAAGGCTGGTCATCATCAAGCCGAAGGGAAGCAGGAATGCAGCAAAGACGATGAGGGATCGGAAATAGCCAGCGTCAAACAGTGGACCTGTAATGACTCCAATCATCATCAGAAGGAAAGACTGCAGTGATCCAATCCAGGCAATGGTCGATGACGAAGTACCGGCGAGCAACTTTTGCTCATAATAGGTTTGATATGCACCCCATGTATTAATAACGCCCCTGTTCCAAATCATTAGCAAAAGGATCTCTATATCGAAGAAGATATACTTACCATGAGTTGAAGAAGAGAAAGAATGAGCCCAGAACTTGGAGCCATGCTTGTAGCCCCGTATCGAATGTCACCTCGGGCTCTTTCTCCAAAGAATTTGATATATTGGAGTTGGCATTTCCCTCGGGAGTAGCCGAAGAATCGGCGAGGACTTTTTGCTCTATATCTGGGTTAGTTGACGCCATGGTGCATATGTCAAATAGATGCCCCTGGCAATATAGAATTCAGACAAGTCAAGTATGCCCTATCCTTGAAATTATGCAAAGGCTTCTTATAAAGTCACGACGAAAATAAAAGTTTTAGCCATAGGAATTTCCCAGTGGCTTATAAACCCCCGAGTTAAGCGGGGCTCGGTGGTTCGGCCATTCGAGAGATTGAAGTATCAGACAGGTTGAACTGTTGATATAATCAGATAATTGAGCTTTTTCTAGAACCGGATATAGAGCTATATACTGGATTATGTCAGATATATACATAAATTTACTAAAATAGCATTGTTACTCTTTGTTGCTTTGAAAGAATCAAATGCTTCGGCAAATTAGTTGCCCAGCCGAAACTGGCCTAGTCAGTGGGCTAGTGAGATTCAGAAGCTATACTACGTACCGAGTACAACAACTCCATGTATAGAGATAACATTGATGAATACACGTATATCCTGAGGATCTCCATAGAGGATGATCTTATAGTCACATTAGTAAATGCCTTTGATATGGATGTAACTCATAGTCTCTGACTCACAAGGAATCTTTAAGTGGAGACTATGCCTCCACAAAGATTACAAGCTTTGCTCATTTACGGGGGCTTTTTACATACTAAATTTGTTGGAAGTGGTTGATTCGCCATAGCAATGTTTCGGACTACCTGCTTTCTGCTTCCTATGGCATCAGATTGGGTAGGTATGCCTGTAGTGCAGGACATGGAAGTGTGCAAGCGACTCGCATACTCTGAATATCCGAATATCCGAGTCAAATGTATCTGTATCGAGATTGTAACTTCGAAGATGAGTCAAAAGATGCCAAGAGTACATATAAAATCTCCAAAGTAGGGCTATTGAATCCCGACAATTCTCACGTGGTGTATATACTATAATTGCTTATTTTACGTAGCCAAAGCAGGTGCAAGAAGATAAAACAGGTCAAATTATTTTTAGATATGTTTTTTTTTCCGTTCTAGATTCATGTACAAAGCCTCATTGGTGTCCATGTTTCATCAAGGACATCCATGTCTCTTTTTTTCGACGGGTTCTTCGAATCCCAGAACTCCAAACGCTATGCTGAAACTCAAAGAAAAGCACAAGATGGAAAACAGTCCCTGTGGAGAACGGTTGATACCGTTTTGACCACTACAACAGCTCCTCGCACGTCCAGTCCTCATACCTAAAGTGAAACATTGTTAGATCTGGCTCGCCACACATGTTTTGACCGAATATTGCTTACCATCCATCCGGAAGGTATCGGCGAATGATCAGAGGAATCTTCTTCTGGTTCAATTCCTTCATGGCGATCTGCAGGGGATCGGTTTCACCCTCGAGGTCGACGAGAACGGGAGCATTCATACTATATCAAATGTCAGCAAGCCCAAGCTAATGCGCAATCATCAATATCAAGGAAGAACGAACCTGATTTGCAGGGCACGGGTACCGAGAACGCGCGCGCGCTCGTACTTGGTCAAATACGGGGTGGTGGTGCGCTGGTCATTGGGCACTTTCTTCTCGCGCGACTGTTCCATCACTTTTCCTGCGTATCCAGCATTGGGATCGCCAGAGACAACGACATTTTCGCCATTGGTGGTGGGGTATTCTTCTCCCTCAACCCCGTCTTCGCCCTCGAGGCCCTCTTGTTCCTCCGGCTCCTCATCGAACACATCCTCACCGGGCTCGTAGTCGAAGCTGCGCACACCGCATTGTTAGAAAATGGGTTTATACAAGTATGTGCGAACACATTTTGAAGCTGCCTGGAGGCGAAATGGAAAGCTCCTTTGCGCCTAGACCCCGGGCAATCTGGTAAAGGGAGGTAGCTTACGTCTCTTCGACGTCGTCGTCGTGGCCGTAGTCAGACATAATGACAGTTAAACCTGTAAAAGGAGCGAAGTGTTTGTAGGCCGAAGCGAGCGATGAAAGACCCAGAGGTATGAGAGACAACTCGGGGGTCGAGGTGGGATTTGATGCTAAAAATCCTGGGAGCGGAAAAACTTCCTCTGTGTTGGCCGTCACCGCCTTTCTGGCAAAAATAAAATTATTGGGTTTGACATTCAAGTCCAAACCTCCTCGTTTCTTGAGAGGCTGCTATTTTTCTTAATTGTCCTTTTTGGGACTTCTTCTTATAATGGCCATGAAACGAAAGGCCTCAGTGGAGGGGCTTATAACCCCCAAGCGACACCAGAAGCAGAATGTCCTGGACAATTCTGGTAAGTTTACGTCCTCGGATAGTATCCGATAAAGTGATCCAATTGTTTACAATTCTACAGACATGATATATGAGGAGACTCACTCCGATGCCGAGTACTCGGCTCCGGGTACTCCAAGCGTAATGAGTGAAGACATGGACGGCTCCCCGGCGACACCATTCTCGGCTACCTCTTCCCGACAGAGATACCCATCCGAGCTCAAGACCCTATGTTGCACGTTCGAGGGTTGCGATAAGGCATTCAATCGTCCTGCTAGACTCCAGGAGCATATCCGATCACACAACAATGAAAGAATCTTTAAGTGTGAGTTTGAGGGCTGCGACAAGACATTCTTACGCCCTACCCATCTTCAACACCATGTCAAGAGTGCCCATACAGGTGTTCGAGACTATGTTTGCGACTACCCTGGGTGTGAAAAGAGCTTTGTGAATGGGGCACGACTTCGCCGTCATGTCGCTACCCACGATGGACATGACAAGTACCGCTGTACAGAGTACCCACCTTGCAACGAGACATTCCGGAAACACTCGACACTGCAAAAACATATTACGGTTGTGCATTTGGGCGAAAAGCCTTTCCCATGTCCCTACGTGGATCCAACCACCAACGAGAAATGCAAGATGGCTTTTGACAAAGCTGGTAATTTACGGACCCACCAGAGCAGAGTCCATTCCGAGAAGCGATTTACTTGTGCAGAATGTGCCGAAAAGATGGAAACCAAATCATCAGATATGGGCGACGACAATGCAAGCCAGGATGTATCGTTCCCCTCGTATGCCAGTTTACAAAGCCACATTCGGATTGTTCACCCTCCCAAATGCCCCGAGTGTCCATTAGTCTGCTCCACAGCACGGGGACTACGGCGCCACCTCGAGATTGCCCATGGCAACGTCACTCTCGAAGAACGAAAGATATTCCCCTGCACAGTCCCCGGCTGCGGACGCAGCTTCACCAAGCAAGGCAACTTGACTGTTCATGTCCGCACCGTGCACGACGGCGAAAAACGGTTCGTCTGCGGCGAGACAGATCTCTCAACCTCCAAGAAAGTAGACGGATGGGACGGTGTCGGCTGCGGCAAGCGCTACGGCAACAAGTTGACACTCGAAGATCACATCCGCACTGCACACCTGGGACTCCCGAATGCCAGGAAACGACGCCAAGAAAAGCTGAGCAAAAAGCCGGCACAGAATACCGTTTCCACTCTTTCCGCGCTCACGGGCCAAGGCTACGCCGAGGAAACAGGACGCCAGATCGCTTGCTTTTTCGCCGAGTCGTGCCCACACCGTTTCCATCGCAACTACGATTTGTGGGTACACATGACTACTAAACATCACTGCAATGAGGACGAGGTGCAAAACCTCTTCATGCAGCGCGCATTGCTTACCGATGAATCCGGCCCTGGGGGTAACTCCAATTCACTGGGTATCTATGGTCTTGGATATGATCAGGATGGCCAGTTCTACCACCAACAATCATACACAGCCGGAGATCACTCGTCAGATATTGCTTTTGGGTCACAGTCGAACGATTCGTCCTATCTCCCTACGCAGCCAGGATTGGATTCTGATTATTTGATGCATGATTTTCCAGCGAGTGCAGCCGGCGACATTGATTCTATGATACCCAGCCATAACCAGATGGCATTGGTTGACCCTGTTGATGGTTACCATGCGATGGAACAGTAAATTTGGGCATTTCACGATGTTACGATGATCTAGCGTTCTCGATTCGTATATACGGGCTTCTTTTTCAGTCTTGATATACATATAGCCTATTGGCTTGGGCATGTATGTTTCACTTGCAAATCTAATGTGATCATCTACCTAACCTTTTATTAAACATAACATCCCTGTAGACCAGTTCCTGCATCTTATAAGCTTATTTCTTCTGAACATGGCCAGCTGAAAATAACCCAGGTAGTGGACTTGACTTAGCTGGGATGTCTTGAACTACTAAGTATTACATGTTATGAAGTCTGTGCATATTGATAGCTTCCTTCTAGCTCTTAATGAAACTTTGCATGATGCTAGTATCTCCCACTCACTGGGAATTTACGTAATGCGCATTAGTCGGTCAATTTCTACCTACGGTGGAGAGAGAGAGAGACTGAAAGAGGACTTGCTTGGTTTCACCATAAGGGCTACTCATCCTGAACACCACGTAAAGGTGCAAGTCTTGCTCAGGTGCTGCACACAGGACCCGTGCAGCTGGGTTGGGGGAAACGGACAACAGGAAGAGGGGGAATGTGGTTGAGGGTGGTTGAGGGTAGGTGAAAGGTCGAAGGTTGTTGAAGGTCGAAGGTTGTTGTCGAATGTCGAAATTTGTCCAAAGTCCAAAGCCCAAAGTCCACGGTATAAGGTTGTCGAAAGTCAAAGGTCCAAGGTCCGAGGACCAAGGAAGGGTTGGCTTTAGCTCCCACTTTCCAATGGAGAACCTAGGGAAGTACAGTCTGTATCCGCAGAGGCACGTAGGGGCTGTTCTGCGGCAGAGGCACGCAGGGCTGGCTACGGCATGCTTCGTGCCATTAGGCAGGACCGAAGTCCCAGTCTAGTTTCAGACTAACCTAGGCCGCAGCAGAGGTTCCATGGTGTCCTCAGGTCCTCTCACCAGACACAGGCCCACAACGTGGTGTCACATTATGAGCCCCGAGCCAAGCCCCGAGTTTTACGAGAGGGACGAAGAAGGAAGAAGAAGAGAATAAGAAGAAAAGTGGGAGGGGGCAGGTATTTATACCCTGGCGATTTGGGGGGTGACAACCTAAAAGGGAAGGCACGAGATAACCTAAAAGGGAAGGCACCACCCACCCGATTGCACAGGGAAACCCCTACACAGACTACAGACTCATCCGAGGGCCAGCCACCCATCCTCATGCTCCCAAACCCACAGCCCCTTCTTCATCATATCAGCCAACCCCACAGAATCCGTCTAGCAGGGTCTTGGAAAAGGGGAAACCTGGGACATGCGGCCGCGTGAAACGGAAGGAAACCGTTACTGCAGTGCCTGTGCACCCGCCAGACGTTAATGAGTGGGGTTCGGAAGCAAACGACTACGAATCTGTTAGTGAAGCCAGTTTGGTCGCATCCTCGGGACAAGAATCGGAAGAGGACGCTCACCAAAATCCTCAACAAGGCTCAATTCGATCACTACGTCCCTTCGCGGTTGTCATTCCACCGCCGCCAAGAGATAATTGTGAGCATACAACTACACAGAACTAATAGAAACAACACAATCGTATTCCTCATTACTACATAGTTAGTAAGGAGCTGCCCAGAAGGGGCCAAATCAAAAGAAAGATGCTCAGAACGAAGATACGGAGGCACGCTGTCACCCTCACAAATCATCAACCTTTGGTCCATTTCATTCCTGTATACACTGTGAAAACTGCATATTTCGTATGATTTTTTTAACTTAATCCAAGCTGTTTGACAAAGCTTGCAACTTGCTCTTTCGCCAGGGCCTTTGTGAAACCATCCGCCGTATTCATCTTGGTATCAACTCGGCGCATGCTAATGTGTCCTCGCGCAACTGCATCCTTCACGAATAAGTAGCTTAGCGTTAGCCATCTGCTGGTGGATTTGTCTCCTTTCGTAGACAATAACAACTGAAAATGTATGTTATCCGTGTTGTAGATCGTGGTAGGGTCAGGCATCGGGAGATCGAACGAGCCAGCAACCTTTGCTAGCCATGGCGCATGCATATCGGTGGTCTTTTCCCTTTTGTGAGAGGAAATGGTAGGTTTCTTTGGGACTGGCACGATAATGAAATCGTCAAATCTAGTGATGAAAGAGATGAACTCGTCGATTCGAGCATGTAGCGTTCGGGATCACTAGGGGAACACTCTGGTAAGTTGTCGGGCTCTGCAGGCTTAGAGTATACCTCACAAGTTTGGGGAACGATGTCACGGGACGGATGGACTGCTAGGAAGCCGCGGGTAAGAGCTAGTCACTGGCTGATCCGTACCAGTACGAGCATGATTTAGTCGTCGTAGTGCCCGAGACCGGGGCTGCATGCGAGCTCGACACCTACTTGGTTCGAGATCAGGACTGCTGTTGATTGACAATTCTCTGGTGGTAGGAATCCAAGGCCTCGGGCGGCATCCTGATCGTTGTTGATGATGTATTGTTTTGCGGTCAGTACTTTTCTGTCGTACTTATCTTCGATCGAGGACCAGCGCATAGTTCCTTTGCAAGTTTCTAGGCGATATTCCCTCGGCTCTTTTATTTTCTTTTGCTTGTGCAAACAGCAGGTTTGATATCAGCATTCCATTAGTACATATTCACTTATATAGGCTATATAACTGCATTTCAAGCCCATTATGAGCCAAAATATAACTCCTTCATCATGTAGCCAATCATACCAAGGATTTTACTGAAATGAGCCAGGGCTTTAACCTGGCTCCCTTTATATTTACTAAATTGGTATCCATAATCGTCATGAGGCAGCCTGAATCCAGGCAAATAGTTAACTAGTTTGACTCCTGATTCCTACTATCTCAGTTCATATTTACTGCCTGCTCATGCCAAGAACCTGACCGACGGATTTGTTCAGATCGTCCCTGAACACATGTCTCGTCGACGACATAGACTTGCTCAGAATTGATATCCCGTCATATGGGGGTGTGGTAGAGTGTTTCCCCCCTGTTGGGAGGGTGCGTAGGACACGTGCCCTAAAGTCCGTCCATGGAGCCAAAGGTCCAATGTAATAGATGCGGTGGATTACAAAGGATGTAGTGGTGTTGTTCTAGTACAAGGTTGGGAGAGGACTGCTGAGTATGTCACGCGAGTATACCCGCGGCATGTGATTGCTCGTTTGACATGATTGCAAATAACCGCGCCGCTGAGAACTCGGGATGGTTCGCCCATGCCTTTGATTTCGATTTCGCCTCTCACTTGCTGGAAAACCTGGGCCGCTTCTTCATCGGTAGGAGCTGCTGCCATGAAATCATCGACATCAACAGGCAGAAACCACGCTGCGTCGCCCTCTCCCTTCATGTGCATGCATGGGTTGTCAAGCGTGTATAAACCGATTCTGTTCAGCCTCGGGTCGAGTTCTTCATTTCCATAAGGCTGTGGAATTTCAAAGATAGCTATTCCGAGGATTTCCAGTCCACGTTTGGGCTATCCGGCTGGACGGACAGGACATAGACAAGCTTGTCTGGAGAACCGGCAGGATTCACCTTATGGTTGTAGTCGGCGCTGAGTTGTAATGGCCAGTCCCAAGCTTATGACTTTAACCAGGCCCTCTATATATCAAAGGTTATACTTGGAAAAGTCCATTTCACAAGGCCATTTCCCGCCTTTTTTCGCTGTCGGCTGTCAAACTGATAGAAAATATAAATAGAATGATATCTGAGAAGCCCACTGACAAGGCCACTATGTTGAGAATATATAGAGAGAGATCTGCGTTGTGGAATCTATAAAGGGACGGGGTACTTATATCCCTGTAAATCTAGCAAACAAACAAGCAAACAGCAGAGTTGATATCCCACACTATGTTGTAAAACCCCCACTGAAAATACATCGCAAGGCCGCTTATGTGGCTATTATTATGGACCCCTAGAAAGAAGCATGTAGAAATGCAACTCACTAAATAGCACCGAGTTTTATAGAGATACTCGTAATATAACCTTTGATACAACCTTATTTCCCTAACAGGCATAGATGATGATGCCAACCGTGGAACCCCCACAGATTCAAGGTCCTAGCGGGAGGAAAAAGATCAAAAAGAATCATATAGATCCCAGCCACATGGATCTACATCTTTTTCTTAAAAAAAGAACCTATGACGCGTTGGGATCTTCATGGGGCCATGCTGATCCTATGCAGGGAAATTTGATCTTCAAGATTGCGACCGGTGTATATAATACCTAGTCAGAATACGGAGTACCCGTAGACGGGGGAGTACTCCGTACTCCCGTAGTTCACACTAGCCATAAATGCAAAGTGAACTTGGCATACCATTGGATTGTTCCAAGGTTATCTGAGCAAAAAGTGTGGCTGAGTTAGCCTAATGCAGGAGTGGAAAGGCCCGTGTGAAGGCTCATGAACGCCGTTGGGTGGGGTAATGAGAGACAAAGATTATTCTGATACCATATTACTCCGTACCAGGTACGGAATAGAATTTATTAAAATATATAGATAAAACAGGGTTCCCCAGCGGTGAAGAGAACGCGTTATCGGTGGATCCATCGAGAGACAACGTGTGAGAATGAGAGAGTGTGATAGTCAGATTGAAGGTGGCAATGGAACTGCAGAATGCCAAGTTAGGTCATTTCCATGTTGGGCTTAATGCCATTTTTAGATACAGTGATCTTGGCGGTTATAGAATTAAGGGGGTCAGAAAAAAAAAGGAGGATCTTATAATATATACTACTCCGTGTCAATATAAGACATTAAGACTATATTTACCCATAACGCATTAACTAGTCTACTTATAGTCCGGGTTGTCTCTCCACCGACGATCCAAGACAAGTGAGAAAAGGAAAAAAAAAAAAAATTCAGTTCAAAGGAAAAAGGAAAATGGCTTGGCTTCGGCCTTTTAACTGTCACACGAGATATAACAATATTTATTTTCTTATATTATAATTCGGTGTAGCGTGAGGTGGAATGTCCACAGGTGTTTAGTCGCCTCCGATGCCAAATGACCCACGGTAGTTCCTCTTCCTCTTCTATCTTTATCTCATATTATTCCTTCTTCCAATCCTCTCCCTTTCCCTCTTTTATCTCTGAAAATTAAAAGCGTTAATCCTGGCGATTAGCGAAGACATTTCCAAGCTTATAACGTCATCTTTTCTTGGCAGAGAAGCTCCGATTTCCCTACTCCGTACACTCCGTCCAACCGATCATTCGTTTCATTCTTATTCTTCCAGGTTCACCTTTGTGTTGCTTTTATGGATTGATCTTTCTCGCCAAACCCCGGGTCCAGGCACAGTCGCTATTTGACAGTCTCTCGTTCAGCGCAATCGACCTGCCTCTGACAGTTTCCTTTTAAATCCCACCACGTCCCAGTCTCTCTTCCTACTTTCGACACGTTTCACAGTAACTTAGTGAAGGGTGATACCTAAAAGTCAACTGAGGTTTCTATCCGCTGGTACTATCACGTTCCGACGTCATGGGTCGTTCGCGTGGTAAGTTTGATCTTCCCCGGGAATGTCGGGAATTGCACTAGAGCCCGTTATTGACTATCCCTTGCGTTCTATTAGTCCGCTCGTTTATATCCAGCTTTGGGGGGTCAAGGAACAATGGTTCAAATAAAGAAAGCAGAAAGTCGTCGAGCAACGTTACGCCAGTGGCCAACGTGACTCCGTCCGATACACCCCAGTGGCAAACCACTCCGCCCGATACACCATCTCCTCCGACCGAATTATCCCCTGTAAGCTCCGGGCCAAGAGGTGGAACTAGCTCGCGACCGGCATCCATGATTGTCTCACGAAACCCGCCTCTCATGCAGCAGGCGGGCGATACCCCGCCGGAATTGTCGCCAATATTTTCATTCCTCAACATCCACACAAATAAGGTCTATCATGAAGGTTACTTTTTGAAACTGAATGATCTGGATTCTCGTAAGTGATCACCCCGCCATGCGGGGAAATGTAGACTAACACGTGGCAGACGGACGGCCTTGTGGTGATCGGCAATGGGTGGAATGCTACGCACAGCTGGTCGGAACTGTTCTTTCACTATGGGATGGCGCTGCGCTGGACGCAGCAGGTGGTGAAGAGGTCCCGGCGACCTTTATCAATTTGGCCGATGCGTCTATTAAGATGGTAAGCATATCTCTTCTAGAATTGTCAGGCATACGCTCATCAGTTACTTGCAGCTTGAGACTCTTCCGATCCAAAATGGAGCTACAGCACCATTGAAGAACGTACTCAGCGTTTCGTCCGCGGGCAAGAATCGTTACCTCTTGCATTTCAATTCTTTCAACTCACTGACCCAATGGACTGCGGCAATTCGTCTCTCCATGTTCGAACACACATCTTTGTATGAAGCTTACACCGGTTCATTGATCGCAGCGAAAGGAAGAACTCTCAACGGAATCAACTCCATCCTAGCACCCACCAAGTTCAAGTACGAAGATTGGGCGCGTGTGCGATTTGGAGCAGGGACTCCGTGGAGACGATGCTGGTTTGTGATCAACCCTCCAGACGAAAAAGAGCTGCAAAAAGCGCGGAAAGTATTGAAGAAATCGGCATATGACCGCTTGTCAATTCCAGTTACCGGAAACATCAAGTTTTACGAGACAAAGAAGACCAAAAAGGCGATTCCCATTGCAACAGTTACTCAGGTTTACTCGGCATATGCGATTTATCCACAATCCAAGGCTCTAATTGATGCATCCACCCTAGTAAAGTTAGAAGGACGGATTACCACTCACGCGCCTGAGTCTTCCTCGGAGGGTCTTGTTTTTATTATGCCTGAGCCGCATGCTGCGATTTCTGGATTTGAGATGATGCTGCGCTTCCTTTTCCCGACATTCGACGCTTTCAATCTCTACGGCCGCCCTACTCGCCTGGTGGCAGACACTAATCACATCAAGAGCATCATGTTTGCCTTCCCTAAGGAGCGACGCTACGGCTATCTTGATATACTGGACATTGCCAGTCTTCTTCAAACCCCGGGAAGCCAAGAATGGAGCGAAGCTCAGTGGAGAAAACAGCTTAAAGAGGCAACACAGCGTCGAATTTCATCTGGCAGGAGCAGAACCAATAGTGTCAACAGCGTAAGACCTCGTTATCGCTCGATGTCTGGTCGAAACAGCGATGTCCCTATGGACTCTGCTCGCCGCCAGTTCGCTGGTCTTGAGAACAAGGCTGAATTTAGTAATTCTACTGAGGCTATTATTCATGAGGTTCCCCAAGGTGAGGGCTCCCCCATTGTGTATCACAACCGCGGGATTTCCGATACCACGGGCTTCAATGCTGGCTCTCGGCTAGGCAATGGACCTCTGGATGAGAGCTCACCTGACTCATCTTCTCATGATCTGGTGCACCGTGGTGTTCCGGCGGTCGCTCCTATCGCTGAGAGTACCAGCTCCGAAAGCGACCCAAATCTCGACCATTTCAATGGCCCGCCAGTCGGCGAGCAGCTTCCTCCACGCACACCACCGGCTCCTGTTGCGAACCCACCTGGATTTTCGCATGGACCTAAAGAGATGCCTACCAACCGGCCAGAGGCTTCTTCTGAACAGAGGCTGGCAAGCAACCGGATGTCTCACGGAACACTTTCCCAACTCACATCAGTCGGAACGATGGGGCTGGGCGCGGCAGCTGCCGGAGCTGCATGGAAAAGCCACCAGGCACAGGCTACGAACAACCAACTACCCCAGAACAAGAGCTTGGATAGTGCCTACACCCCCGGCCCTGTTGCGTCCACAAACTCTCTTGCAACTTCATCAAGTGACGAGGGCCTCGGTCTTGCATTCCCGGCTCGACCTCCCCAAGTTCCGGAACATCGCCCGAACACACCTAGTACTACCAGCAGCCCAAAGCGGTTTTCTCCCCAGCAGTCTTCCCCTCAACGGATGCAAATTGACGCCAACAAATCCGTGCGACGCAAGCCACTTCCCCGGCAAACCCTTTTTGGAGCAGAGCCACCCTCACCGAGCGAACCGAGCTACGATGATCTTCGCCATACCCTTGATGAAGACGCGCTGAATAAAATTGCTCCTCACCTTCCGTCCCCAGTCTCATCCACTGGAAAAAGAAACGGAAACGAGGATGAGAGCATTTATGATGATGCATCGACGGTTTCGCCCGACTATGCTAGCACCCACGGTTCTGTCTACAGCAAGAAATCCGTCGCGTCCACCAAACCCAGAATGGGTGTCATGAAGACCGTGGGAGTGCCAGCAGCCCAAGATTTTGTCATTGGCGATGCTCGTTATGCTGTGGATAAAGCCCCGACCTCGAATCCTGATATTCCCACGGTAGACTTCGGTCCAACTATGACCTATATGCCTACCACCGGGCGCCCAACCACATCAGACACCTTGAAGAAGTCAATGCATCAACGCAATGATTCGTCGGGAACCAAATTCTCGGTCCCTACTCAAGCAATCGATCAGGCCCGGCCTTCCAGCCGGGATGAATTTCGACGAAGCGTGCTGTGGCAGCCTGGCATGGCTTTCGGTCGCCCTGTCACTCCAGGTGGAGGCCTCACCCCGGAGCAGTTCGTGCAGCAACGGGCGGCACCTAGCCCCCCGATGCAGGTCCACAATCGCACCCCTTCCAATCCCATGTCAGTGCAACGCCCGGTATCTGGCGACTGGACACAATATGCCCGTCCCAATTCGCCCATGAACACTCAGCGGGATCCCAACTATCGACCTTCGTCTCGCGGTGCGCAGAGTATGCTTAGACACAACGATGCTCCAACCAATCTTTCCGCTCGTGAGCAGGAGCATGTTGCCCGCATGACTGGCTCTTCATTCTTCAACTTGTCAAATGACAACCGGAAACCACAGGCGCCAGTAAACCCTATGGGTCTTGTCTCTCACATCGATGCGCGGGAGCGCGAGAAGCGAGACATGAGGGAAGGCATGTCGAACCAGGCGGTTCAGCAGGCCATTGCGCACCGTCAGCAACACATGATGCAGCAACCTATGATGCACCCGCAACAGTACGCGCCTCAACAGTTCTCCCCACCATTCGCGCCTCAGCAGATGCATCCCCAACAGGCTGGCTCTGTGTATCCCTCTCAACATATCCGCCAAGAGTCCATGTATAACATTCCGACTGCCAGCCATACATGGGATGCCCTAAACCAGACGATCCGGCCCGACGAACCCCGTCGATCGTCCTGGTACGGACAGCTTTCGCAGGCTCCTCAAACACCCCCTAGCTACCAACAAAGCCAGCCTTACGGTCATGAACAAAGGTACTACAGCTATGCTAAATAGACTGGTTCCTTCTCCCCTCGGGTCTGACTTTTGTCTCCCATCCATCATTTTGTCCACTACCTCGACTTTCCTTTCAGTCCTTCCAATCCTCATTCCTTGCATATCATTAGCAGTATTTTTTATTTTGTTCAACCCGCCATTCCTGCATACCTAGCAATCTCCGCACCTTCCAAACCGTTCCTCTTGCACGCAGTCCTTCTTGCACTCGTCCACATCGCTCATTATCGTTTCTTTATCTTTCACTTTTTTTGCATCACGCATCCAACCGGAGTTCCAGATGGGCGTGGTGGGGTCGTCCCTGATTTTCCATGCGAGCCGCTTATCTATCATTATATTGGGGTTCTTGTCTTTTATTCTCTTTTTTATCAACATGTTTGTTTTAACATGTAAACCAGACTCATGAAAATATGTGCCTGTATGTACGCGGTATAGATTGACCATGGATATCCAACCAGGCGATTATTATTTGTCCTTTGCACGTCATGTGCTTCCTTAAGAATCTCCTATCAGTAGGAATGATACCTACATCATAGGCAGTTGCACTCAAAGAAGATATGTATGAGTACAACGTCGGATGCAACAGATGGTCGTCGGAAGAGAGTTGAAAACATTGAACATCATAAAGCTCCGATAACTATATACGACGTAGTACTACGCTGTAAAACCTATATTCTGAACTCAGAAGATGATCCATGATCTCAAGCTTGAAGAGTCACGATGTATACTACGATCGGAATATAGTATGTTATACTCGAGTACATAATTGCCGTATGCAAATCCAAATTTGGACATCCCGGGCTTCATACATAGTTATACAATAATAGCAAGTCGATCACAACTTTGATCGGCCAATCGGGAACAAGTACGACAAGACGTATCTGTAGTACATTGTATGATCTATAATATAACCGAGCTTCCTTTATTGGGCTAAAAGTTATGCTTAGTCTCCGCCACGTCTCAGTAGGATGCAGTGTGGTGTGACGTACCCCCCCTGCACCTTCTCGGATATGCCGAGACTTTCATGAATATCACATACAATGCATAATTTGTATCTTAATATGATTGAACGTAAGAGGCGGGAGGATTTGACGCTTGACGTCGTGTGGATTGAAATGATGTCATTGGGGTTTTACCCGTGAACCAATGGAGACGAACAGGTTTTCCCCGGATTTCAGTTGATATCATTGGAGATTTTTACTTCAAGGTTGTATGATTGTGTACATTTCTATACTGTTGTAATTGAACATGGTCTCTATCTCGGTATATAAGAGGTCCGTCGTTGCTTGACAGGTTCATACCCAGCCCGATAACTACTCTTCTGCATGCAGAGCCACCCTATTCTTTATTCCCTCTACCATTGTGACCCGATATACTACACAATTTAGACCTTAATCGATACAGCCTTCCATATGGCTGTCCCAATGGACTCTCCAGTTCCCGAGAAGTCAAACGCATCAAGCTTTAAGGATGAAGCCAGCCCACAAGCAAATAAAATCAAAACAGAACGGGGTCTCGACACCCATGCCGAATATGCCTCCAACTCCGATGCCACAAGCGACGATAAACCTAGATTACGTACCGGTGGTAAACCCGAGCTAACAGAAGACGACTGCTACGAAAAGCTCGGCTTCTGCTTCCCAGTATGGAAGAAATGGATGATTCTCAGCGTCATCTTTGTGGTTCAGATGTCCATGAACTTCAACACAGGCGTCTATGCTAACGCTGTCCCCGGTCTAACCGAAGAATTCCACATCAGCGAACAAGCCGCGCGAGTCGGACAGTGCGTGTTTCTAGTTGCATACGCATTCGGATGTGAGCTCTGGGCACCATGGAGCGAGGAATTCGGCCGCTGGCCCATAATGCAGCTCTCTCTATTCCTTGTGAACATCTGGCAAATTCCTTGCGCCCTCGCACCAAACTACGGCACGATCGTCGTATGCCGTATTCTCGGCGGTCTCAGTTCCGCCGGAGGCTCAGTAACACTCGGCATGACAGCCGATATGTGGGAAGCCGACGACCAAGGCTACGCAGTCGCCTTTGTAGTCCTCTCTTCAGTGGGCGGGTCAACGGTCGGACCATTCTTCGGCGGTATGATCGGCGAATGGCTCTCATGGCAATGGGTATTCTGGATCCAACTGATCGCCGGAGCCGTAACGCAAATCCTGCACTTCTTCATCGTACCAGAAACCCGCACGACGATCCTAATCGACCGCGAAGCAAAACGCCGTCGCAAGAACGGAGAAGACGTCTGGGGTCCGAACGAACTCAAAACACCACGTCTAGATCTCCACGACGTACTCCGAATCTGGATCCGCCCGTTCGAGATGTTCCTCCGCGAGCCAATCGTCCTCTTCCTCTCCCTCCTCTCCGGTTTCTCCGACGCCCTAATCTTCGTCTTCACCGAGTCCTTCGCTCTAGTGTTTGAACAATGGTCCTTCAGCACCCTAGCCGTTGGTCTAACCTTCGCCTCAATCCTCATCGGCTACGTAATAGCATATATTATCTTCCTACCGGATATCCACAGACAAATCCAAACACGACGCAAATCAGGCCCAGCAAGTCGTCTCGCAGAGCGTCGTCTCCTCCTCCTCCTTTTCATTGCACCACTCGAACCAATCGGTCTCCTCGGCTTCGCATGGACATCAACAGGTCCACCAATTCCTTGGATCGCACCGTGCATCTTCGCATGTCTGATTGCAATGGCAAACTTCGCAATCTACATGGCAACCATTGACTACATGGTTGCGGCATACGGACCATACTCTGCCTCTGCGACGGGTGGTAATGGCTTCGCGAGAGACTTCCTCGCTGGTATTGCGACTATGTACTCCACCCCCATGTACCAGAATATGGGGGGCAAGTACCATCTCCAGTGGGCGAGTACCTTGCTAGGCTGTGTGGGGTTCTTGGTCTTGATCCCTATTTATGTGTTCTACTGGAAGGGTCCGGAGATTAGGGCGAAGAGTAAATTCGCGCAGCAGCTTGCTGCTGATCGCGATAGGAATACTGAGAGTAGGAGGACTAGTCGGGCGAGGGCTTCGGTTGTGGCTTAGTTGTGCTTCGAGTTGATGTATTATACCCTTTTGTATAAATATATTTGTGAGGTTGCTACCTTGGGTTGATGTACCTAGGTATGTATATATGTATGATTTATGACAATGATTCAAGTTTCAATTTACGTCGTGGCCTTTCAGATGGGCTATTAGCTAGCTAGTTCTGCTTCTTTTGAAAAGTATATGACACCCCAAAGAAAACATAGCGTTATTATATCGAGAGAACCTTTGCATTTCCTATAACTGCAACTGGTAATAGGAGCTGATCTTAGCCTTGGAAATTTATATACTTCCGAAAGGGGAAGGTGGATCCATGCCACGTGCTAGTGGGTATCAACCCGTCAAACCCTCAATATACAAACAATTCGATCAAGTCCTAGCTGCAAATGTATCTAATCAGAAAGATCCAATTTTGTTGATAGATGAATAGTTACATCTTAGTCCAAAATAGCGCAATGGCAAAACATTTATAAAGGTATCTCAAAAACGCCACAAGTGCCAGCTTCCCTCGCCTCTCTGCACCAAAAAGCATCTACACCATGCTAGAATAGACCATCCCATGCAAAGAGATGTTCTGTAAATGCTAAATCCTATCTCATCCTACTAGATATTAGCATCTAGTTTGAATGCAGCTTCTTGACGCGCATAGCGCCTTCATATAGACCACGGTCCAAAGCAGCAGCGACAGTCAGAGTACCACCAATGATAGCACAGATGCCAGTGAGGAAGTTAGTGAAAGTCTTCGGACGAGCCTCACGATTGATAACCTTCATAGGGGAGATATCGTAGTTGAAGAAGACGCCTGGAATACCGCCACCGGCATGCACGCGCTCCTTGTGGCCCTCGGCAGCATCGTTTCCACCAGAAAGAGGACGCTTGTGCGAGGTGACCGAGTACTGGTGAGCCTCAATACTACCTTGAGCACCGTAGGCGAGACCGTGGGAGCCAAGAGGAGCCTTGTCGTAGACATTATGGATGGCGGACGAGAACTGAGGATCCCAGCCCAGAGGTAAGTAGGATGTCGAGACAACTTTGACGAAGTACATGAAGTTAAAGGCGGCTTCGTCAGTTTCCTGCTTGGTATCGTCAAGTGGATTGGTGTGGTGGTGGTCAGTCCAACCCCAGCGGCCTGCAAGCTCGGTGGGAAGCTGGGGCCCGAAGCGCAGCTCGTGGACGTAGTGGGACATTGTGTGCTGTTCCCCGGGGCTCGCGTTAGGCACAATGTAGGCGTCTAGGTCATGGACGTGCATGTTGCCAGCGGTGAAACTGCGGCCTGGTGCAATGTGGAAATTGCCCACCACCTTGTTGACCTTTAGCACACCCTCGATCCGACATCCCTCGCGGCGCTGCTCGGCGAGTTTCTCGGCGTATCCTTCACGTTTGCACTGCTCGATGTTGCTGCCATCGCCGAAGGCCCATTGTTTCAGGGCGTAGGCTTCGCGCACTTCTTCACAAGTAGTACAGCATCCCGGCTTGATGACATTGGGGGGAGGCGTTGCTCCACCACATTCACCGCAGTAGTCGGGAGCCAGATGCTTCGCAGCTTCTGATGGGGAGTGTCTGGAAGGGACGGTAATGAGATTGTGATCACGATGTAAGGGATTTCAGGTGGAAGGACTGGCACTTACAAGTCCAAAGATTGCACATCAATCACCTTGCCGCCTTCAGCGTGTGGGCCCAGGCGGACTTTGTTCACGCCATGGGCAACGCCAACCTGCTGCTCACCAGAGACATCCATCACATCCAAGGTCAAGAGCTCACATGGCAGCCGAGGGAAGGTCATGTTCAAGTGGATCTCCATTCGCTCTCCTGCGAAAAATCAAGTCGTCAGCAACCTTGCCCTATGCATTTATCTCTGCAGGTCCATCGTGGGTCCGATCAAGTCTAGGCTTCATTCATACCTCGCGATTTATCGACGACAAGCTCCGGTAGCACCACAACTCGTCGGTAGTCGGCCCATTCACCCCATACTAGCCACATGACAATCAAAAGCGAAGCGATTGTAATGACACCTCCGGAGTTCGTGCGAATGCGGGCATCTTCAACGGTCTTGGCGAAGGCGTCTAGCCTCGTGAATCGCGACTTTGCGGGCATCTCGCCGGTCAATTGACGACCATACGGTGAAGCGCAAAGGCTAGGCGAGGGTTCGTGGACAGCGGTAGTATTTCAAAAGCCTGCAAAATAGAGAACGCGAATATGTTAGCCAGGTGGTCAATGGATGCGTAAGCTCAATTGAACGAGGGCGACCTTATTCACGCGATAAGACCAAACAAACAAAATAAAGACAATTGGGAAAGCAACCATACCAACAATAGGGTTCGAGTGAGTCAATTCAAACTCAATGTGATTGAGCCTCCCAGACACCTGACAATAGAGATAATAGCAAGGCCAATTTGAAGCCTCTCAAGTGGCCAGGCATACTTGCAGGGCCGATGTATGAGGAGTACTCGTGAGGACAGACGACAGCATGTGATTGGTCCTTGTGAAACAAGGAGATGAGTCATCTCCTAATTAGGACTAGTAGCAAACGATACCGCCTCATCACGTGCCAATCGTCACTTTTTCCTTTGTCACTTTACTTATTCACGGTCCTATTGTTCTTTGGTCATTCATTGTCAATTTTTTATTGTTTTGCAGCTGCACTACATAATCTGCAAACCCCTCTTCTCCAGTCTTTTCAGTTTGCTCTTTCTTTACCTCCCACCCTCCCGAGTCAACATTGAAACTGTGATTTCCTCACATGCGAACAACTTCTTTCTGCCTGATCTGAGGCGCATAGCGCGCTGCTCGCTTCAACTTAGCAGTTTCAGCTTTCTTTCACACTATCTCCTTCTACAAGAACCTCCGATACCTCACCCATCTCTCAAATTCCTACTCCAATCATCATGAAGAGCATGAAGTCTCGCCGCGGCGGCAATGATCGCGGGGGCATTCGCAAGCGGGGCCCTACTCGCACCGACCGAGATGGCGATATGGACATGGATGCAGGTGGTGCTCGTTCAAAGCGAACCCGCGCCGAGAAATCTGCCCTAGGTGGTCGCTCCGCCGGCATCGGTGCAGGTGGCCGAACTGCTGGAACCGGCAACCGGGCCCATACTCGCAACAAGCTTATGGACGCCGACGCTATTCAGAGAGCCATTTCCCTCGCCGACAACCAAGCAAATGTTCAGCATGGCGGCCGGAAAAAAACCGGCGGCGATCTGGAACCATTCAGTGTCCGAGGATGGAAAGAAAGCAAGGCAGCAACCAACCGTGATGGCGGCCTCGAGAGTCTCATTGCTTTCCTGGAACGACGCATGAATTCATTCATCAAATCCGGACCCCGCGCAAAGATTACAAAGGTATGTTCCTCGTTCACAACGGCGGTCACCAACAACAATCCTCGACGTTCCTCGCTTCAGTGTCCTCTCGTTTTCGAGGACGGTCCTCCTACGAAACGACGATCGACACATTTTGGACTTTTTGGCTCCTTCCCCTTTGGGTGACCGCAGTTTTCAATGCCCATTCGCACCATTCTAACCTTCGAATTAGTCGCGCGTTGAAGGTGACATTCTTGTGGCATACGTTCGACCTGATCTGGCGGGTCACATGCTTCGCATCAACAACAATGTCTTTGCCGGAGCTCATGTTTCCGTTGAAGCATACACTGCCGCCACCGCATTTGAGCAGGAATTGGCCGCAGCGGCCCCCGCCTCTAGCTCCACCGGCAATACTAAGATTAAAATGACTACTATCCTCGGCAAACGCTTCTTCCCTGCCACTAAGCTACTTGATTTGTCGAATACGGTGGACGATCCCGAAATCAAGGAGCTAGGAGTTTTCGACACCATGTCTACCAAGTCAAAGTTCTTCCCTGCTCTCATGAAGGTCTGGGAAATGGGCTTCAAGACCGCAACTGAGCGACGTGAGGCGGTCGAAAGTGTCAGTCTGGCCTCAAACAAGCTCAGCAACATCACTCCCGTGACAACTCTTGCACAATATTTCCCCGATATCCAATATCTAGACCTCTCAAAGAACAACATCAAAAATGCGCAAGCGATGTCTGGATGGCGGTGGAAATTCCGCAACCTCATCTTCCTCGACTTGACCGATAACGAGATCAGTTCCGATCCGACTTTCAAAGACACCATGCTCAAGTGGTATCCCAAGCTGCAAACTTTGAACAACGTGCAGGTGCGAACCCCGGAAGAGGTCGCCGCTCAGAAGAAGACACCGATCCCCGTCTTGCCCCCTCACTTCATTGACGAATCCCAAATCGGCGAGAACTTCGTCCGTGCTTTCTTCCCTGGATATGACAACGACCGCAACAGCCTCGTCAGCAACGTCTACGATGATGAATCCTCTTTCTCCCTGAATGTAAACACCACCGCTCCACGGGCCGGTCAAACTGAGACCGCAGGTTGGGGTGAATACATCAGAAAGAGCCGGAATCTCGACAAGATCAGCCACCTTTCCGCACGGATGTCGCGCTCCTTCAAGGGCGTTGAGAAAATTCGTGAAGTTTTCAATGAACTCCCTCCCACTCGCCACCCAGACCTTATCACAAAAGCAGATCAATGGCTCATTGAATGCTACCCGGTCGCCCATCTCCCTGACCCTACTGGACAGAGCCCCTATGGCGTTGGTGGCCTCGCCCTCACGGTGCATGGACAACTTGAGGAGAGCGTTGGTGGCAAGGTCGAGATCCGCAGCTTTGATCGAACCTTTATCATTGGCCCCGGTAAAACCCCCGGTGGCATCCGAGTTGTCAGCGAGGTTTTCACCCTACGCGCTTATGGTGGACATGAGGCATGGTCCCCTGAGATCCAAGCACTTTCCCAAATCCCGCAGGTTGCAGCTCCCGGCCCCGTTCCTACTGCGACCCCTGCTCCCCCTGCAGCTGCCTCCGGTGGTGTTGCTGAAGGATACGGCTTGCCCCGACCTGGAAAATCCGATACCCAACTTCAGCAGGAACAGATGGTTGCTCAGATGAGTAGCAAGTCGGGCATGACTTTCGAATACTCAGAGATGGCCCTCACGGGCAATGGATGGAATCCCGAGCTTGCTTGGAAGAACTTCGAACAGCTCAAGGTAGGCTAATTCCGAAGATAATCCCTCAATTTTCCACGGAACGATAACTAACAACACTCCTATAACAGGCAACCAATGCACTTCCTCCTACCGCTTTTCTTGCTCCGGCGTGAGCACTTGCTTTTCTAATGCTCTCTGATCCATTGAAACCTTCCATGTCCACTCCTAATTCCATTGTTGTTAGCTAGTTCGTTTTATCTCGGGAGTGGATCTACGGAAGCATAATGTATCTGATGTGACCAATACTTTGTTTTACTTGCATGGCTTGGGCGAATGGCACTGGTTTGATAACGTCCAGATCTGGACATGGGCCACTGGGCCAGGAACTTTATGAAAATCTTGAAAAATCAAAAATCAAATGAACACTCCATTCAAAATTTTCAGTCCGAATATAAGTATTAAGTAACAAATTGTAGAGTTGAGAATTTCAAGGGTTGTGAGTTCATATAAGCAGCCCTGTCAGGCGGTAGTTGCGGAAGATGCCAAGCTGGCGCGCTAGAGCCATGCGGGCCGCGATCAACCCCCATTCACTTCTCCCTCCCACGAATTCCGCATTGGCCTCACAAAAAGCACGAGACCAAGGGCAGGATGATTTTGGTGAGCTGATGGAATGACGATCATTGCCACAACCACCGGCCACATGTCGCCAAACGAGGAACCAAGCCTCGACGCCTTGGATGCGGGTGCGGAACAATTGACCTCTCGTGCTCCTGTATATGCTAACATACGAGGTACATCCAGTGGATTACGATCCGATTGAACACTTGAATGCCGTTTTCTCCCATCCATCCACCCTCTCCTCCGTTTCTCAGATATCCGACGCCCTGAACGAATGTGAAGATGAACTAGACGATAACATCGGCATGCTCGTGGAGGAGCAGGTCACCTCCAATGCCGATAGCGTGGAACGAATCCAGACAGCTAAGGCTGACCTTTCAGAGCTGTTTAAGAAGATCGATGACGTGCGTGAGCGCGCAATGAAGACCGAGCAGTCAATCACCGACATGACAGCCGACATCAAGCAACTTGACAACGCAAAGAAGAACCTCACACTGTCCATGACAGCACTCAAGCGTCTGCAGATGCTGACAACGGCATATGACCAGCTCCAAGCTCTTAGTCGGACGCGGCAATATGGAGAATGTGCACAGCTACTCCAAGCTGTTATTCAGCTCATGGCCCATTTCAAGTCATACCGATCGATTGACCAAATCGCAATGCTCAGTCGGAATGTCGCGGACATACAACGAGATCTCCAAGAGCAGGTCTGTGAGGATTTCGAGCTAGCCTTCGCCAAGGGGGAAGTAGGCCCGAAGCGAGCAATGCTCGCGGAGTCATGTCTAGTTGCAGATGCTCTGGGTGAACACGCGCGGTCTCGACTGGTGACTTGGTATTGCAATACACAGCTCCGTGAGTACCGGCAGGTCTTCCGGAACAATGAGGAGGCTGGATCGTTGGACAACATCTCCCGCCGGTATTCATGGTTCCGGCGCATATTGAAGATATATGACGAAGAGAATGCGGCTATCTTCCCAGCTTCGTGGAGGGTAAATGAGGTCTTGGCCAATGTCTTCTGCGAGGGCACACGAGATGATTTCAAGGGTATTTTATCCCGATCTGTACGAAGCGGGCAGACGATCGATGTCAATTTGCTCCTCTCGTGCTTGCAAGAGACGCTTGATTTCGAGCATTCTCTTGAGCGCCGCTTCGCCCCTTCGTCGCGTACATCTGTTGATACATTCGCCTCTGCCGAGCCGCCTGTATTTAATCAGTCAATCTCTGAAGCGTTCGAACCATATCTCAGTGTCTGGGTGGAGGCTCAAGACAAGCAACTTGCAGCATTGATACCGAAGTACCGCCAACAACCCCTCCAAGTACCGGACGAGGAGGAGTTCAACTCGCATATTGTGATATCATCCTCGACTGAGCTTTTCACTTTCTATCGGCTCGCTTTGCAACAATGTGCCAAGCTCTCAACTGGTGGCAGTCTGGCGGAGCTGGCCAAGGTGTTCGCCAAATATTTGGACCAATATGCCCAGCAAGTGCTTCTCAATTATATAAGTGAACGTCCGACAGTTCACACGCCATCTAGAGTGCCCTCAGTGGAAGATTACATATCAGTTTTGAACACTGCTGATTACTGCTACACGACTTGCAACCAATTGGAAGAGAAGATTAGGGGTAGATTGGATGAGAGCCTGAAGCAATCTGTGGATCTGCAAAGTCAGGCAGACTCTTTCATGGGCATTGCATCGGCTGCTGTACGAGGCCTTGTGCGCCAAGTCGAAGTTGATCTCGAGCCTTCCTGGCGCGAAATGCGCAATACACCTTGGGCTAAGATCGAGGCAGTCAGTGATCAGAGCTCATATGTGAGCGAGATGCTCTCCCGGACGAAGGAGAAGACAACTGCAATTTTAAAGCTGTTACATAAGCAGCAATATGCGCGTGCCTTCTCCGACCATCTAGTGGAGCTCATGTCGAGTCAGTTCATTAGCAATGTCTTCCAATGCAGGCCTCTTTCAGAAACCGGTGCAGAACAGGTATGTTGTCCTCTCTGTGGTGTCATTATATCTTACTAACTCTATTCATAGATGCTTCTCGATTCATATACTCTGAAGAGCGGCCTTACGTCCCTGCTACCTGCTCCAGCACCCGCCGGCTTTGTCAAGCGTGTGAACGCCAGCTTCTTCAAAATCGAAACTCTCCTCAAAACCCTCCAGGTCCGGCCGTCACCACCGGAAGCTCTTGTGCAAGCATACCTCATTCACATTGCCGACTGCAACAACAACAACTTCCGCAAAATCCTTGATCTCAAAGGCATCCGCAGCCGCCAAGATCAAAACCACCTTGTGGAGCTATTCCAGCTTCACCGTGCATCCGACCGCTATGCATCTAGCCTCCAACAGAGCAACCCAATCCTCGCCTCTCTCCAAGGGCCATCCGCCACCGCCACCGGCTCCGTATCCCAAGGCCTAGGTCTAAGCACCACCGCCGCGGCAGTCATGCCCTCCCGTTTTGACGCCTCCATGCTTGGCTCCGCCATCATGTCTGCTGCCAAGGACGGCGTTGACCGCTTCGGTAACCCCAGTCTGAGCACTCTGAGTGCTGGGGCTACTGGGACAGCCACATCTACGTCTGGCGTGACCAGCCCATCAGGGGCCTTGTCCCCTTCCCTAGCCAGCTCCGCCATACAATCTAATCCCATGCACACGTCTACAGAAAGCACCACAGGAAATCTCAATGAGAACCTGAAAAACATTGGCAAATTCTTCCGCCGCGATCTCGGTGGGTTTGGAGGCCGGTTCGGGCGGAGTACTGAGGATGGAGCGTAGCTCCCCTATTTTCTTTATGTTTGTTTCTTTCTGGCTATATCTTGACTCAGGCGTGGATACCATTGTAGAAATGTGTTTTGCCGTTTCGGCTGATTTGTTCGGGCCATTGCATGCTCGAAGGTGTATAGCTTATGTATGCTTAGGACACCTTGTGTTGCATGTTTTGCAGTTGTATACCACTTGGATTGAATGCATTGAATGCCACATTCGTGTTTGGATACAATTCGTCTATATTTTCCAATTGCACATACCAAAATCCAAATCTATTATCTGGGTGGGTCAATTTTCGAAAAATTCTCTTTTAGTCCACGCCCTTCTAATGACATGTCCCGATAAGGGAGGGCTCTACACAATGAAATATCTACATATATTTTCCCCTAGTCACCTACAACCCCTTCTTTTCCCCACTGCAAGACATCCCCAACCCATCAAAACACCCACAATGAATCTCCAAACCCCACAAGAACCCCAAGCCCCGGGATACACCATCCGCACCCACCGACCAGGTGATATAGGCTGGATAATCCATCGACATGGAGTACTATACGAAAAAGAATACGGCTGGGGCACAAAAATGGAAGCACTAGTAAGCAAAATTGGTGCAGAATTCCTCGACAACTACGACGCATCCACAGACAGATGCTGGGTCGCGGAGCGCAACGATGAATTCCTGGGCTGTATACTTCTCATTCGAGACACAGATCCGGATGTCGTCAACACGGCTAAGCTGCGTCTTCTTCTTGTTGAGCCCAGTGCGCGGGGTCTTGGGCTTGGTCGTGCTTTGATCGAGCAGTGTACACGGTTTGCGCGAGAGGCGGGGTATGCACGGATTAGGCTTTGGACGCAGAATGTTCTTGTTTCGGCTAGGAAGTTGTATGCGAAGGAGGGGTATCGGCTTGTTAGCTCTGAGGAACATGAGGCTTTTGGGGAAAAGCTTGTTGGGGAGTGTTGGGAGTTGGATTTGTGAGGGAGTGGTTGTTGCGTACATAGTGATACTTGTTCGTCATATTTTGCTGCGAATGGGCATTGGTTTCTAGCTTTTCCTCTTGGTGAAGAAGGGAGCTAAATGTAGAAGTAGTGATACCAGTATATACTTCCGAAACGGGAAATGTGTCACGTGGCGGTATATGAATAGCTCTCCGGGGTATCTCTCTCCCTGTTTTTCTTTCAATGGTTGTAGTCAAGTGATATCTAGAGATTGAGATATAGAAATAGCCTAAATGGCCTTGTAACATGTGTACTCTGTACAATATCAAAGTCAATGAAATAAGGTATGTGGGTCAATTCAAAGTGGGTCTAATAGAGTTTGTATAAAGTTAAGGTATTTCCTAGATATGTCGGGGAGTATTGCGGTTGTTTCATCGTGTTGTCTATCTAAGAGGTGGGAAACCAGGCATTTTAGCCACATGCCAATACATCTAGAACATATCGCTAACCAATTTGAATACTGTTGCGATATCCTACCTCTACTGTTTGCTATACTGTTTGCTATGCTGTTTGCCAGGCTAGTGAACCTTTATTTGCTAGATTTACAGGGGTATAAATACCCTATCCCTTCATAGATTCTACAATAAAAATCTCTCCTTCCTCATCATCTCTCTCACCCACTGTATGCTCAACAAATACTATCTTGTAACTGCTCGTGGTATTTCTCGCTCTTACAAGAGTATTCTCAATCTTGCTTCTCTGGACAATCATTTCAAATGGATAGAGCCTTCGGGAGGTGAGTAATTTATGGAAATATTGTTATAGTCTTTGTCTAACGCTCTCAGATCTCTTTCTTCGTCCTTGGTCACCTTTACGGTTGGTGCCGACAAGAAGGAAATACCCGTACATTCTTCTGCACTTGCGCAGCTTTCTCAAAGTCTGGATGCTCTTATCAACGGTGAAATAATCGAGGCAAAAACAAAACAGGTTGACTGGTCAGAGGTCGATGTTGACACATTCGCTCGGTTATGTGAATTTGCCTGTCGCCGCAACTACATCTCGCCTTCATTTCGCCTGATAGATCTAAACTCTTATCCATTTAGCCCGGTAAATGGAAAGTCTCTTCACTCGAATGTGGGCGGTGACGAGGCTACTCCCGAGCCGACTACGTTCCAGTACGATGGGAATTCCCTGCCTGAGATGCCATATAAGGAAAGAAGTATTTCGACACGACAACTGCACAACGCATTTACGCAGATTCCCGTTAACGTCTTCCAAAGTAACCCCTCATCCTATAGTACTTCGACTTCCAAAACATCTACAAATACCAAGCCCTCCCAAGACTTCACCCTGTGTTTCTCGGACATGCCCACCTCTATGTGCTGGCCGACAAATATGGCATAGAGCCATTGTGCCAGCTAACTATTTCCAAGTTAGAGCAAACACTAAAGACTTTCAAGTTATATGACACTGGAGTGAGTGGCATTGTTGAACTTGTTCGATTTGTCTACTTGAACACACCACCAAATTTCGGTAGTAAGGTTGACGCCTTGAGGAACTTAGCAACACGTTATGTTGCTTCTGTTCTTGGACAAATTGGAGATAACAAAGATTTTCAGGAGCTTTTGGAAGAAGGTGGTCCTTTTGTCTCTGATCTCTAGCGTTGCATTTGGAGAGAAGAGTAGCGCTTGGAATACTCTTCCGTTATCTTGCTAGTCTACTGCGAGGATTATAGAATTAATCAAACTCCGATAGCTAGTACTTCTTCCCAAACAGTCATGAGACTTTTTCTTCAGTTGTTTCAACTCTAGAGCGTCGTTCGCGGCAGTCAGATTCGATCCGGTCATGCCATGTAGTCATGTTTATCGAAGTAAAACTCCCCTAGGATTTGCATCTCTAATCTCATCCCATTGGGCCACTCATTGTGGAAAGGTTATCCTTCCAGGAAAGGGCTGTTGCAAGCTAGGGCATCAGAGATTCCCTCTAATATTGGCATTCTAGTGCCAAATCATCAGGCCATTAGCCTAACACTCTTCCAACGCAATACTCATTCAAATATTTGACTAAAATCATGTCCTTCATCAAGCGTCTCAAAATTCTCGGAAATCTAGCACAACCAAACAGTAGAAAGAAGAAGGAAAAAAGACGAAAACCAGGTACACTTATAATTAGCGCGATAAGGCGTCGCAGATTGACACAAACGACATGTAAGGGATTAAGGAGAAGTTCCACCGAATTGCAGATCTCATGGAATTTTATTTTTATCCAAATGCTTGATACTTGATAAGCATTTGATTTCCAATCAGAGTTGCATTCACTAGCGCCCTTGACTTGGTGCATGACTCGCCAACATTCCCCTTCTCCTCATCTTCCACCTCGACTACCTACCGAGTAACTATGCTCGAAGAGACCTCCCCACTACTTGGTGGGCAAAAGTCCAGGTGGTTATCAATATACTGGTTATCCGCTGTCGTCTTCTGCTTGTCCGTTGCGGGGACTTTTCTCAATGTACCCCTAACGCGACTCATCGAGGACAACCTTTGTAGTCGATATTCTCAAGGCACCCCAACTGAAGAGCTCTGCAAGACTGATAAAATTCAATCCAAGTTGGCTTATCTCAATGGCGGTCTCCCCCTTATGGAGGCGGTGGTTGGTACGTATAAATAATTATTTATCTCGCCAAGGCAGCAGCCGTCCGACGCTGACTGGTTTCTCCAGGTCTTATTGTGGCATTTCCATTTGGAATTCTTGCTGATAGGTAAGGGCTACCTCTCCAAGAATTGGTTTAAGAATCAAAACTCACTTGTCTGTAGAGTCGGTCGGAAACCCATCATTGTTCTATCAATGATTGGAACCTCGCTATCCTTGGCCTGGGAATTAGCTGTCATTGCTTTGCCTAGGATAATCCCAGTTCAATTCATCCTGGCTGGTCCGTTGTTTACTGTCGTCGGCGGTGGAAATACCGTGCTCCTTGCTAATCTATACTCGATTGCATCGGATTTGGTAGTTCAATCAGACCGGTAGGCTCCGACACCTATCTCGATGTATAATCTAATATCTAACACATATAAAGAGCATCGGCATTCTTCCTCATGGCATTCGCCAGTCTACTTGGTGCCTCTGTTGGACCGGCTATTTCCTCCGCCTTTATGGAAACATTTTCACCTTGGGTTCCAACCTTCATCAGCTTCTTCGTCAACCTAGCGGCTCTAATCCCGCTCTTCTTCGTACCCGAGACTTTGTTACCGTCAAAGCAAGACTCTAACTCCGAGCAAGATCATCCTGAGTCTGGAGAAGGGCCAGAGCCACATAGCTTCCGATGGTACCTATCTCAGTCCCTTAACCTCGGCTCTTCTATCGCATTGATGAAATCTCCTTCTATAATTCTTGTCTTAGCCACCTTTCTTACAGCTGCACCCGAGGCCCTGGGCACTTCCCAATTCCTAGCACAGTATATCAGCAAGCGCTTCGACTGGCCTCTCGCCAAAACAGGCTATCTTTTGACCCTCCGCGGGGTCATCCATATGGGAGTCTTACTCTTTACACTTCCTCTGCTCTCCAAGATACTCTTGCGATACCAGCGTCCACCTGCTAAGGACTTGATGCTCGCCCGTGGCTCCGTTGCAATTGCCGCCGTTGGAGCATTCTTCATGGCTGCGCCACAGATAGGACTGGTGGTTGCTGGGCTAGCGGTTCATAGTCTGGGGTCGGGTCTGGCCCCGCTGTGTCGCTCGCTAGCAACCAGCTATGTGACACCACAGGATACGTCTAAATTGAATACGGTCATCGGCATAGTTGAAACGACTGGGTCGTTATTTGCTGGGCCAGCACTCGCGTGGTTGTTTGAGACGGGGATGAAACTGGGAGGCATGTCACTTGGACTGCCGTATTATGGGTTGGCAGCGTCATTCGCATTGTGCCTGGTTGGCCTGATCTTTGTCCAACCACCTACCCGGGAAGGGGAGATCGAGGAATCCTAGTCTTCGAATGACCTGGCTAAGTGGAGGAAAATTTCATTATAACTTCGCTACAGGGGATACATACACCCATGTCTCTGGCTTCATACCAGGCCCGAGCGCTATACATCCGCGGAATAAGTCTAGCTACTCAGCCATAGGTGCCGAATCCTCTCTATAGGAAATAATATAAGACAAGGTCACACCTTGTTTGAAGACCGCGAATTTGAATGAAACAGCCACTACACGATAACATGTCATTGTTCCGGATTAATTGTACAAGCCCTAAGTGACCATCAAGACGAAAACCAAAATCTCCTTTGTGGAAACCATTGCCAAATAAGCATGATTCTCTTCGCAATCTGATGTAGGTATCTTCACCAGGCCGGCTAGAAGCGTAGAGCCAACTCAGGTCCCAGCAAGCCTCTGCGAACCAATGCTTCACAGGTCTTTATCTCCTTTGCAGAGTCAATCGGGGTGTATTCTTCATTCGAGGTTATATCCTTTGTCTTGCGCTTGAAATCATACGCTACCAGGGCCATTGTAGGATAAACATCATACCAACAGGCAGAAATAAGACCATCAAAAACTTCATTGCGGTTAAGTTCTGGGCAATCCATTTCTCCGAATCGGCGATTCCATTCTGCCGCGCTGAGGATAACGTCGTCGTAGGGTTCATGGCCATATACCATAAAGTATAGAAGTGCCCCAACGGCGAACTGCTCAGTTCTGGCAGAATACAGACCGTATGTGCCTTGCAATGGTCCAGCGAGTATTGGCTTAGCTCGTGGAGGCAAGACACCTTCTAGCAGCTGGCCAATAGTTGTGGCACGGCCGAAATCAGTCAGCTTCAAGTTAAAGTCACTGTCAAGAAGACAGTTGCTTGCATGCAGATCATTGTGACAAAAGCCCATTTTCTCTATATACTCAAGAGCAGAGGTGATTTGTTATATCCAGCGAGCGATAAGAGCAGGATCCTCGTATTCCTTGACCTTGGTAAGACGCCCGCGAAAGCCATTTTTCGCTGGCTCTCGCTCCTGGCGTTCATAGAAGCGAGGGGCAATTGCCTTATGCGTGCAATAGGATAGAAAAATATGGTCAGGGAGCATAAGAAAACATTCAACAATATTCGCACATCGGTCCTGGTGTTCATTGAGACGTTTGTAAAATGCGATCTCCTTGAGGAAAGGATGTTCCCCTGTCATGTCTTCAGGGGCTCGGTCAGGACGAACAGTTTTTACCACGATAGTTGGAGTAACGTGGTAGATGTAAGCGTCGAGTCCTCCGCCAACCCAGTTATGCTGCTCGAGAGTATCAGCGTAGTGGAATCCCATGGTGTAACAAAATACATGTAATGCTGTGGGAGTATAACAAAGATATACAGACTACAGAAAGTAATAACTGATTGGGTGATGTGAAAGGGGTTGGTGAATGGGAAGGGGCTGGTAGGGACAACAGGAGCAGGGCTTCAGGCGTATCTCGAAATGTGCCAGTTAAGGTCGGGTGATATTATTGGCATTTAAGTGATCAGACAGTACATCATGTTATAAGAAATGTAAGGTTCAGAAGGTAGCGGGTGAGAGATATGTCCAGGATGAGGAAGGAGATGTATCACATGCTGAATGGCACTATATCCTGTTCATCTCTCCAATAGTTCCAGCCTCGAGTCAACTACCTGAGAACTAGTACCGCGTAAGCATTACGAACAGAAAAAAAAAAAAAAAGAATTTTTGAGAACGAGTTTTTGATTGAGCAACCATCTATTACGGCAGCTGCACAAATAGAGATATCGAACAGGATTTCCAACAGCCTCCAACTACACAACTGTCTACGGCGACAACATATTGGACTACTATCGCAGGTCGTATGAAGGGCATCTGTAATCTTATCACAAGTTAGCAATTGTTTTCAAATTGAGGAATCAAATGTCAAGTCAAAAGCATATGTGAGGGTAGAGGCATGGCGTCATCAAAAAATTAGAGTGTTGTTGTTGCATTATTTTAATCTTCAGAGCGCCCCGGAGGGGGGCGTAAATGCTCGGGGTTAAAAATTTATAATCATCCGCCAGGGTGATGTGAGGTGGTGGGCAAGGGAAGAAAGCAAGGAAAGAATTGAAAACTCACCAATTATGCGGAAACGAACAATGGACGTAGCTACGACCATTATACAGAGTCCTAGGTTTCCGAAGGAAATCCATTGCCAAGGTATGTTGTTTCATTCCCGGTCGCTATTTCAAGCGCCGGTTCAAGTAAATCTAATACATGGCATTCGTATCCCGTCGAGGAGGCGCTTAGTCGAAGAGACCGAAGCCCATGTCCTCATCGGACTCCTCCTCGTCCTCAGCAGGAGCAGCGGCGGCAGGGGCGTCACCACCGGAGGTGGCGGCGGCGGCGACAGGAGCAGCAGCGGCGTACGCATCGGGGTTAGCGATGCGGTCCTTGAGATCATCAATCTCAGCCCAGCTGTAGTCGGTAGCGACGGCAGCGGCGAGGACCTTCTTGTATCCGTTGATGAGGGAGTGGAAGACGGAAGGAAGGGTGGGGTAGTTGGCAGCCAGGGAGACAGCGGTGATGGTAGCAATGGCCTGGGAGAAGGCCTTGAGGAGCTGCTCATCGGTGATGTCGAGGACATCAGCGCCGAAGCACTGACCGTTCTCGTAGACCTGGGTGATGGCCATACCGTAGGTGAACGGAGAGATGTTCAGCAGGTTAAGGAGGGTAGCCTCGGAGGCACCGACCTTGTTACCAGCCTCAACGAGCTTGAGGTCGGAGACAATCTCAATGGTACCACGAGCAATCTTGGTGGGGACACCGAGAGCCTGGAAGAAGGCGGTCTTACCGGGCTCCATACCAGTGTTACCGGCGGGAATCCAGACATCATCGGGGGCGACGGCACCGGCACGAGCGGGGGCAGCGACACGGTTGGCAAGGATCTTCTCCTTGGTGGCCTTGAGGTCACCGTTGGTGAAGATGAAACCGACGTTGCCACGGACGTGGGGAAGGAGACGCTCCCACTCGGGGTTCTCAGCGACGAAACCCTTGAGGGCACGACGAACCATGGTGTTCTTACCCATCAGGACGACGGCCTCACCACGGAGAGACATACGGATCTCGTGCATCTGCTGGGAGCTGACATTGTCAACTCCGACGATGAAGATGGTGCTGTACTCATTGAGACTGTAACATAGCTTGTTAGAAATTATAAATCCAGTCAATTGCAAGCCATTGAGAAACTAACAGAGTACGCAGCTTCTCAAAGTAAGCGGTCTTGGTTGCAGACTTGCCCCCCATTTCTTCTTGTTTTTAGTGAAGATAGGTTGTTTAAGGGATGTTGTTGTGGTTAATGAAAGAGAAGAAAAGAAGAGCTGGGCGATTTCGGGAAAATCAATTTTGGTGGTGCGCTCGCTAGTGGGTCACGTGACGTAAAAAGTAGACCCGCCCAAAGATGGACAGACATGGCGGGAATTCGATCAGAGGGATCTCTAGAGCTCTAATTGTTATTTGTTGTCTTCTTGCTGACAATTAATACACAATTGATCCATCTCAAAGCTCATTGGTCATTCCCATCCTGTGAATCCAAGCTATTTCATTATGGCTGGTCTCCAACACCCATTCCACTGTCTGCGATATGTCAACAGACAGTCAGCAGGCCAATCGGATATCCTTATTGCCACGGCTGGTCGCAATCTGTACTCATACGATGCGTCCAGTGGCCAACGTCTGGATGTGTGGCCTCAGCCCGTAGATGCCAATGCGGAGGATAAAGGCTCTGACGCGGCTCCCGCATCTGAAAGCCAAGGCCCTCCAGAAAAGCGGAGAAAGCTTTCTTCGAGCTCTGAGGAACAGAAAGATGCCAAATCTGAGCCAAAGCCTAAGGATTCAAACAAGGAAACATCCAACTCCTGGACCAACATTCCCCTCGTGACTGTTGCCCACGGCAAATATGTAGTGATCATGACCTCCGAGGACAAATGTGTTCGAGTCCTGAGTTTGGACAATGAAGGCAAACTCCAACAATTGAGTGCTCGGTGAGTGACTATTCTTCTATCTAGAGGCTCGCAAAACTCATCATTTATAGTACAATGCCCAAGAAGCTCTCTGCTCTTACTCTGACTCCCGATGAGAACAACATCTTGTCGGGTGACAAATTTGGAGATGTGTACACTTTCCCTCTCATTCCAAGCGGAGAATATGTGAAAGTCCAGGCCCCAGCGAAGCCTTATGAGCCATCTGCCACAAACCTCACGGTGCACACGAAGCGCAACCTTGAATCATTGGAGCAACAAATGCGACAGGCTGCTCTGTCCAAGAACAACCAAGCAGAACGAGTTGTCCTGAATTTCGAGCATCAAGTCATTATCGGTCATGTTTCGTTGTTAACGGAGTTGATATCCGTTACCCGGCCTGCGGACTCGACCGTTGGCAAGCGGAATTACATCCTGACTGCGGATCGTGATGAGCACATCCGTGTCTCCCGTGGTGTTCCCCAAGCACATGTAATTGAGCAATTCTGCTTTGGCCACACTTCTTTTGTCAGCAGTCTGTGTGTCCCTTCGTTCGAATCCAAGGTTCTGATCTCGGGTGGTGGCGACAGCTATCTGCTTGTGTGGAACTGGCTCGAGAACCAGATCTTACAGAAAGTCCAGCTTCCTAGCTCAGAAGGAGAGGTAACAGTGCGCGGCATTTGGGATGTTTCCCCTGCGCCTACCGCGGAAAATGCCGATCCTGTGAAGGCTATCTTTGTTGCACTTGAAGGGTACGTTCCAATAATCATCAATAATATATGTCATTCTCCTAACATTGAGAGCAGCTCTTCACAGCTTCTTTACTACACTCTGGAAAGCGATAACACGATAATCCACCAAGATACCCTCCAGCTGTCAGGAAATATTCTCTCACTGACTGGCCTTGATTCAAGGGGCTCTATTGTTGTTGCCGTGGATACTTTGCGGGAAACCAATTCCACAAGTGTCTGGAGGTCTTCTTCCCAGCCTCCTCTCGAAACCTTCCGGTTCAGTTCTGGAAAATGGGCTCCTGCAGAGGACTCCATGGTCATCAAAATTAACTCCGAAGGTACCTCAAGCGTCTCCACGACATTGGAGCAGAAGCAGCAGAAAGAGCTCAATGATTCAATGTATAATTTGAGCAACCTGCGGAAGAGAGATGAACCATACGACGACTAAAAGCATGTTTTTGATGAATTTATAGCAATGATTAATTAGAGTTCCAAATATGTACATGTTTGATGTAACAATCTTTTATTTTAATTCGTCTAGATAGCAAAATAATGAGAAAAACAAGTATAGTTCAAAAATTTAACAAAATTCATACCACCCGATGAAATATATATATATATCCCTACATAGTATAAATCTTCCTATACCACAATTATTTTCGCCGCCCCTTCATATTTTCTGCCCCCAATATGAAGAACGAAAAGATATTAAATAGACCCCAAACATAATACGAGAAGGCCCATAGAAAAACTTTGAAATACCAAGCCTAGCCCTGGAGCCTTGTTGAGGACAACCCCATAAACTCAACAAACTCAACAATCAATCTCACAGGATCAATACTTGACTCAGCAATCAGTCATGTATGCCCATTCCAGTTCCTATGAGCGAACTGGAAACAACCTATAGGAGCGTCGTTTTTGAACAAGCTGTCAGCATATTTCTCAACCGTTGCAAGTGTTGATAGAAGAGGCTGAGACATTCATCACGGCAGCTTGGATCCCGAGGTCTGCTGATTATCTCCCTCAAATGGCCTCCATCCAATTGAAACCCAATTACAGCTTTTGTAGTTAGACTTATAGCTAGAAGCAGATTAGAGCATCTTTAAGCTCTCGGAGGATCCCGTCACGCGGCCTTTGAGCCGTTCTTGGTAAAAAGTCCCAATGAATGTAGAAGGCAGATCTATCAACATCTAAAGGAAAGTTGTTTAAGAGACATGTGCGTGATGCCCAACGGCTAAATACACAGACATAACCGTCAATTCATCTCAATTCCAGTTACGATTTAATTGACAAGAAATTACCTCATCAAGAATAAATAGTAAAAATATACCTCGGGAAGGAAAGCTATGAATGTTCACAGTAAAAGCGTTGCCACTCCAATTTTCCATCGCGGGCCGCGGTACCCGGAGAACCTTCTTATAATCCCACTTCCCCCCTCCATCCCACTTGCATATTCCATCAACAAAATGCAGGAACAATTTGAGCCTTTGAAAAACGACTTGCTGCTGAGGGCTGCACGGGGTATGCCCAATATGTGTCTTTCGTTTTAATCGGAGCTGACAATTCCAGGTGAGAAGGTGGAGCGTCCTCCGATATGGGTTATGCGACAGGGTGAGTTTGGTCTCTTCGTACACCACATTAAAAACGATTGATTGACATTTTTTTTTCTATTAAACAGCTGGCCGATACCTTCCCGAATATCACGAGGCGAAAGGAGGCCGCGACTTCTTCGAATGCTGCCGCACACCTGAAATCGCATCAACCTTGACCCTCCAGCCCGTTGAGCGTTATGAAGGACTCATCGACGCTGCAATTATCTTCTCCGATATTCTAGTCATTCCCCAGGCCATGGGTATGGTCGTGGAGATGCTGGACAAGAAGGGACCTCATTTCCCCGAACCGCTCGACTCCCCTACAGACGGACAGTACGAGAAGGTGATGGCGAAGAAGGTGGATGTGAAAGCAGAGCTGGACTACGTCTATAAGGCAATTACCCTCACACGATTCAAGCTCAAGGGCCGGGTGCCCCTGATCGGCTTCTGTGGTGCACCATGGACACTGTTGTGCTACATGGTCGAAGGCGGTGGCAGCAAGCTCTTCGTGCAGTCCAAGAAATGGGTCTACAAGTATCCTACCGAGGCACAGGCTCTTCTGCAGAAGATTGCCGAGATCTGTGTGGAATATCTCGCGCTCCAGGTCGCTGCTGGTGCGCAGTTGGTGCAGGTCTTTGACTCCTGGGCCGGCGAGCTGTCTCCCGCCTCGTTCAAGGCGTTCTCCCTTCCTTACCTGCGCCACATCTCCGCAAACCTGCCCAAGCGGCTGAAGGAGATGGGCTTGGAACCTGTCCCGATGACCGTCTTCGCCAAGGGCGCCTGGTACGCTCTGGATGATCTTTGCGACTCCGGCTACAATGTTGTCGGCTTGGACTGGTTGCACGATGCTGGTGAGGCTATGCGCATTGCCAACGGTCGTGTTACTATCCAGGGCAATGCGGATCCTGGCATGCTCTACGGTGGCCCCAAGGCCATTACTGCCACTGTTGAGCCCATGGTTGAGGGTTTCAAGAAGGGCAAGCAGGGATGGATCTGCAATTTGGGTCACGGTAAGTCGAACCTTATAATTTGGGGCGGGATATCATTTAACTAACCTTTCAACACAGGCGTCACTCCATTTGTCGATCCCGAGCACCTCAAGTTCTTCTTTGAAGAAATTCACCGCTTAACCGTCTAATTGTGTGTTGCTTGAATCTTAACAGCGGTCGGCTTCTTCCCCGACCCTGGTCAGAATACTACATTGAATCTAAAAAGCACATCTTTTGGGCGTGAATATTTTCAATTCTCGGGGTATTTAGGGCTATTATATATGCTGGCCTTATGAAATTAGACAGCGATATCCTCGTTCCTGTACAGCAGACACTACAGTTAGTCTTGATGATCATGAAACAGCCAGAAACTCCTTGATGCAACTGCGAGTAGATCAAGAGCTGCTTACGCATTCTGATAGACTCGGAAGCGCAAAACATAACATACCATAGCTCAGGCTTCTCCTTCATGAATTTGGCCATAAATTCCTTGCACTCGGCATTATCCAAGACAACAACCTCCTTGCCCTTGTTGAGCAGAAGCTCCTCACCACCCATGAAGTTCTTGTTCTCACCAATGACAACACGCTTCACCTTGTAGAGGATGCAAGCACCGGTGCACATATCACAGGGCGAGAGGGTGGTGTACATAGTAGCACCCTCGTACGCAGAGGCAGGGAGACGGCCGGAGTTTTCGAGGGCGGACATCTCGGCCTTGGCGGACGTTAGCTCCAGTTCATGAACTCTATAATAGTTGATATAGATATAGATCAACAATTGATATCAATTCAATTGATTCAATTGAAGTATATCACGCTATACTGACATGCAAGACAGCGCTTCCCTTCTGGACGCGCATATTGTGACCACGGCCAAGGATCTTTCCATCCTTCGAGACCAGGGCGGCACCAATTGGCACACCTCCCTCAGAGAGGCCAAGCTTGGCCTCCTCGACAGCAGCAATGAATCCGGGATCTTGTTCCATTTTGAAGAGTGTAATTGAACTGAGTGTGGGCTAAGGAAAAAGACAAAGATAAGGAATACCCGGAGTACGGGAAATCTACTCCGTACTCCAGGGTATCGGAGAATTCCGACCCCTCTATGACGATAGAACCGAGTGGACCGTGAAGAGCCTTCCCCCTCGCCTCTTTATCGATAAGAGATATGTGGCTGGAGTAAGTGTGGCGAGAGTTCAAAATTTCTGCGCCGAGTTTTACTGGTACATTTACAGGGATTGTATGCAGGATACAAGCAAAATCCCGTATATAGATACGAAATTTATATTGCTTATTAAACTAAGATATCACTACTAGTGAGCTATTTTGCAGAGAATGATCTCATTGTAGACATCTAGACATCTATTTAGGCGTTTAATGGACGAAATATACGTTAGTCAGCTGTAATAAAAAAGACATGGAAGCGCAAAGAAAACCGCTGAAAGTCATCGAAGGTCACGGAATCCCGTAGAATCCCGCTCGGGCCATACAGGATGTACGTAGAAGCCACCAGAAGAGAAGAAGATGAAGAATAGAGTGTATTCTAGAGGCAATTTGTCGATTTTGGATTGAAAATTTAGTAAAATCTGCTTCAAAGCGAGACAAAGAAAACTAGTGTAAAATCGGCATTCCTTAGTTGCTCTGGTAATTTATTTTGTCATTTTACGAGTCCAATACAGGTGCCTGGGTAAAAAAGTTACTCAGCCTTTTTTTGGCTTCGATTATTATTGTTCAGATAACCATCTCGCCCTTTCTTTCCCCCTCCACTTTTTCATCTCCAGGACTTCAAATATCCGCAATCCGTTTCGCATTCCTCATATAAGAGCCGCAAAAGTTTTCGGCGTCTTTGTCTCCCCTCCATTCTCCTTTTTCTGGATTCCACGGGAATACCTAATAATCTTCCTTTACGCTTGATTCCCCGCATACTTCACAATGGTTAAGGAAACGAAGTTCTATGACATCCTCGGGGTATGTGAAAACTATCCTTGCCTGGTTCTCAGGCCGGTTTGACTCGTGTTTCAAAATCTGACTTTGTTTAGGTCTCTCCCACCTGTACCGAGGCTCAGCTTAAGACTGCCTACAAGAAGGGTGCCCTCAAGTACCATCCTGGTATGTGAAAACCCTAGACTTTGATTAGCATATGTGTGGAACGTTAGGCTGACATTGATTCGTCATGTAGACAAGAACACCAACAACCCCGATGCCGCAGAGAAGTTCAAGGAACTGTCCCACGCTTACGAGACTCTTTCCGACCCTGAGAAGCGTCAACTATATGATCAGCTCGGTGAGGAAGGCCTGGAGCACGGTGGTGGTGGCGGCGGCATGAACGCTGAGGATTTGTTCTCTCAATTCTTCGGCGGCGGCGGCGGCGGTGGTCCCTTCGGTGGAATGTTCGGCGGTGGTATGCGTGAACAAGGCCCCAAGAAGGCCCGCACAATCCACCACGTGCACAAGGTTAACCTCGAGGATATCTATAAGGGCAAGGTGTCCAAGTTGGCGCTTCAGAAGTCCGTCATCTGCGGTGGCTGTGATGGCCGCGGTGGTAAGGAGGGCGCTGTTAAGGAGTGCGCAGGCTGCAACGGTAGCGGTATGAAGACTATGATGCGCCAGATGGGTCCTATGATCCAGCGCTTCCAGACCGTCTGCCCCGACTGCAACGGTGAGGGCGAGATTGTCCGTGATAAGGATCGCTGCAAGAAGTGTAACGGCAAGAAGACCGTTGTTGAGCGCAAGGTTCTTCACGTTCATGTCGACAAAGGTGTGCGCGATGGTCACAAGATTGAGTTCCGCGGCGAGGGTGACCAGATGCCCGGTGTCATGCCCGGTGATGTCGTGTTCGAGATTGAGCAGAAGCCCCACGCCCGCTTCCAGCGCAAGGGCGATGACCTGTTCTACCAGGCCGAGATCGACCTGCTTACCGCTCTTGCCGGCGGTTCTATCCACATTGAGCACCTCGATGATCGGTGGATGACCGTCAACATCGCCCCTGGCGAGGTTATCGTTCCTGGTATGTGACTTACTTTGTTTTCCCACGCAAGCTTTGTGAAATTTGTTGCTAACAATCATTTTTAGATGCCATTAAGGTCATCCACGGCCAGGGTATGCCCTCATTCCGCCACCACGACCACGGTAACCTGTACATCAAGTTCGACGTCAAGTTCCCCAAGAAGGAGGAGCTCCAGAACCTGGATCTCCTCGAGAAGGTCCTTCCTCCTCGCTCCGAGAAGATCGTGCCCCCGACCGATGCTATGGTCGAGGACTTCGAGCTTGAGGACCCCGAGAACGAGCACGACCAGGCCCGCGCCCACGGCGCGGCCGCGGCCGGTATGGATGAGGATGAGGATGATGTGCCTGGTGGTGCCGAGCGTGTTCAGTGCGCTTCCCAGTAAAAGGATTTCGGAGACAATTTCCATGCCGTGAATGGGGGTTGATGCTAGGCCAGTGATGAAGACTTCGCTTATGATACCATGTGAAGGAGGCCCTTCTCCTTAACCCCGATTTGACGCGGGGAACCTGTTTGTTTTCTTTATGCTTTGCAATGGCGTTTCCTCCGAAGACCTGGAAGATATCATTTTCTCATTTTCTCTTTGTCTTCTCGGGTTCCATTTCTCAATTTCTCCTGTAATCCTGTTTAGTTCCTTTTTTTTTCTTTGCATACAAGTTCCGGGTCCTTGATCCTTGCTTTTTCACGTTTGTCGCCCATTTTATGTTTTCCATGGGGACTGGGTTTTGTGTGTGGAGTTGCGCTGACGATGGGAAAGAGTCATGAATCGAAGATGAGATGAGACCACGATTGCGGACCTTGCTGCGAACGGATGTAAAAGATTTCTGTTGCCCACGCTGGCTTTGTCCTAGGATGAGGCTTTGGGAGGGGGTCGTGGCGTGATCATGATTCGTCTTTTTTTTTGTTAGCCTGCACTCTGATGACCTTTGAATAGACATTGTTTTCATTCCAATGCATTTGCTCATCTATATGGATGGTTTTTTTATGAGATGTGTCGTTGGTAATCGGAAGAGTAGTAAGAGTGAAGAAGAGAAGGAGGTGGGACAAGATAGCTTGGAAGTCCTCAAGGTCCTCTGTTGTGGGACTTGCAAGGTTGTTTGTGAGCTTTGGTAAGGTTAGAATATATAAGTGTCGCGTAAAGAGTTGGGTGGTGTGGGCTATTCAGGCAAACACCGGGAAATACTACGTGCAGTGGTCTGACACGACAAGTTATTCTTTGCCTCGGCAACAATACCAAGAGCCTCGATATTCAACTGCAATCATCTGAACGCCAGATGGAAGGATATGTCTACATGGAAAGAATCGCCCAATGCACTGGGATCTCACTATCTTGTCCGGGGTATTTTATACATAGAGTAATGTTGAATGCATATATATCATCACTGGGCTACTGCTAGCTATTACATTTATACCTCGTTCTGGCTCTCCAGCTGGCCCATGTTAGGCTAATAATCCTCGCATTCTACCTCCATGATCCCTTGCCAGTCTTCGATGTCACGGTGATGAATATGGAATGTTACATCCGATTCCGACATGGGACTTGCAGCTCTCCCGTCGTAGATCTGTTTATTCACCATGGGAGTAGGCTTGGGATGCGAGGCCTGAATATGGCCATTATAAGATTCGTTACAGATACCGAGAAAGAGAGAGGAGAAGGGAAAGTTCTTGATTTGTATTATCAAGCAAGGTATAAAATAGCCAAATATGTAGCACATAATCAGCAAACCATCAGTCATCGAACTAAATGTAGCGAACAGCCAAACAACGGAGATCGGATCATCCAACAAGACTCTATACTGCCCCGAGGTTTGAGGAGAGGATTCGATTTGCGCCGTGGTCCTAGACATGAAACAGTCAGATAGCTTCAAGCAAACATTAGGATGAATTGACTGTGCCTTATGCTAAGCTGAACCTCTTAGTATCCAATAGATTCCAAGTGGCGAGGGGAAAGAGAGCCATTATAATAATAAATACAGCCATTCTGGTCTCTCTTGTGGTCGACGAATCGACAATATCCTGTGGCGCACTGGTAGAATATCGACCGGGGATATTTCGCCTTCTGACCTGCTACTCCTCGCCTGCTCCACTGCCTTCCGTCTGCACAGTCACACCAGGGGTTTCCTTGCAAAACACCTCGTGTGTCTCCAAAACAAGCAAAGGCGCCACAGTTATAGCATTTGTAGTATGGCCGGTCTGCATTGCCGTTCGGATTGTTCGGTCCACAAGTCGTCATTTTTGTGGGCTGGCCACATTTAAGACAGAAGGGGTTGAAACGAAGGTCCATATTTCAGAGTGAAATAGTTATCAAGTAGTGGTTAAAGGTATAAGCAGATAATAGTGATTTCTGGAATTTGGGAAAGGAAGATCTGGAAACATGGCGAGAGGGTGGTCTATTATACAATACAATGTACAGTGTGAGGCTGAGCCTACATGGATGTACCCAAGGCTGTGAGCCAGGTAAGTGTGGCCAGAAAGCCCAACTCCTGCGCATCAAACGTAGTATTGGGATACGGTTATTTACGGGCTCATTTCACGACCCCTCATAAGCAACGCTCTGATCTATAGAAATATTGAGTTGGCCAGGGAACCTAAATATCACGGCTTCATTGAAATTGAAATGGTAATCCCATACTTGTGTGGACTTGATTCTACATGGACCTGGTCTTGAAGGTGTATAGCTTAAGCATTTTCTTATAGATGTGATGAAACAGTAGTCAAATAGGCAGAAGCTGTCTATTGAGGAGGCCTAAGGTAGCCATGCAAACGATCCATTTTAGGAAGGTACGTGTGACTATAGAGGACTCCCACCTTTCAACCCTCTCGACCGTAATCCCTTCTGTAGCCTCCAGAGCACACGAGGTCGGCAGAGGGTGGTACCTCGAAAGACATCAACACCAAGTTGTTGAGGCCTTCGAAGGTCTGAACACAAATCAAATTGGCAATTCTGGTGGATGTTCAATGAAGTCGGTGGCTGAGCTTAGAGCCCGATAGCTATTCCTGGACAGACTCCACAGAATACATAGGGGGGGGGGGGGGAATTAACTAATGTGATATCCTCTTATCCTCTTCACTCAGATGTATGTAGCCGTCTATGGACGTACTTAGTTACCCAAATACATTCTCTTAGAAGTCTGTCTCATCATTATACTACTTGTACAAAAGCTATCACCTTGTACTTTGAATTTTGAGAAGCAATTTGTTTGAGGGTATTCCATGTGAAAATATGAAAGTAACAAGCCCAAGGCAGAATCTGGAAATGACTGCGCCAAAGGAACCAATGTATTTACCAGCTGCGCAGCAAAGAAAGTGGCGTTCCTTCACCTCGAACTGCCATATTGACTCACTAAAGTTTAGAGAAAGACAAATGTATTCACTGTTTGATAATCCAATCCCTGTTTGTCTGGTCTCGTTTGCTGGTTATTTGCTACATTTACTGGGACACGACCAAGAACTCTCCCTTCTTCATCTCTCTCTCTCCCCCATCTCCCAATAACTAACAGATATCATCATTCTTATCAAATTATTTCCACTGCCCGAATTTTGGCTTATTCTATGACCAATGAGACTGACAAGAGGCCTCAACGTCAGGCGTTGGTGTACGCTAAATCCCCCCACTTAAGCTACACAAACTAACAAGCTTCTAGACGCAGACAACCTCATTGAATTCAAAGAATCGCCGCAGAAAGGCCTGGGAGTGTTCGCAAAAACAAACATACCCCGTGGTACCCGTGTCATCGCAGAAACCGCCTTGCTCGAAGTCAATATCGAAACCGTAATGAACATCGTGCCAGCCTTCGAACGTCTCCCACCTTCCCAGCAAGAATCCTACCTGGAGCTCCACGGATACGCAGGTGATTTATTCAAGAGCATCGTTGAGCTTGAGACAGGAAAGAGTTGGCAGGACCTCCCGGAACTGCACCGCAAAGTGCTCGCCATCTACGCAGCCAACACCTTTGGCTCTGTTTACTTTCTCGGCTCAAGGCTCAACCATTCGTGCATTCCAAACGTCAACTTCGTGTACAATCCACTCCTCAAACAAGAGACGTTTCATGTCATACGCGACATCGTGGCAGGCGAGGAGCTTACAGTCATGTACATCAATGGAACCAAGCGTACCCGAAGACAACGCCAGCAAGAGCTGAGCAGATGGGGATTCCAGTGCACCTGCCCGGCATGCGAGGATACTGTTCAAGGCAGACAGAAAGAAGAGAAACGGGTTGCGTTGTTTGCCCTAAGTGAAGAACTCGCTGCAAATGCAGCCAGTCGTACGGATGAATCTTACAGAACACGGCTATTGATAAGAGAGCGAATGGTAGCCATACAAAAGTCTGAGGGTTTGGTGAATCGAGAGCTGAGATTTGGGTAAGTGGCCTCCCTTGATTATATGGTCATTGTCTTTACACTTTCTTTTAGTTACTACGAAGCGGCTAAATGCTGTCTAAAATTGAACGAGCACAAGATGCTACTTTCGTGGACTGAGAAGATGTTGGAGGTTGACCGTTACTGCATCGGGGAAGACCATCCCGAGTACAAGCAACTGCAGCTCATCGCAGGCTCTATGAAAAAGGCGATAGACGCCTCGCAGCCAATTCCTGAGAACGCTATGGAGTACTTCAAGGAAAGACAGGCGGAAGAATGTGTCATTATGTGAATATCGAGGTACTTGTCCGGAGAGGTGCGATTTGTCGAATGGTAGTGAGGGCAAGATGCGCAATATTGAAGCCAGCTAGCTTTCTTCGGGGAGTGGAGTGGCGCGGTACTCAATAGCGAATGTACAATGAGACATTGAACCAGTTGTTTACCATGTTCTTAGCCTGATCCTAAGTTGCATGGATTGGGAGTTCTGGAATCAGTTGCTTGAATCAGATCAGTAGCATGAGTTCGTGGAGCACTCGAGGAATGGAAGCCTGAAGTCGGACAAAGGGGATGGCTAGGAGATGGCTAGGGAGGAAATTCTCTTGGCTATGTTGCTCATACCCCCTGATATCGATAGCCCAGGTAGATCGGGCAATAGGATGACGAAATAAAGAACGAGATTGTGTCACGGCGCCATAATACCGCCAAGGGCCTACAACATACACTAGAGATCCAGATCTGCTGACTTTGAGCTAATAAGTAGAAGAGCTCAATCACACCATACCACAGGGATCATTAATTTCGAAAGATCGATATTGTTCGAATAAGTCCATGTCTTACTCTGGTCTCAAGCGTACGAGGACAAGAGCTCTAACTCCATTAGTCTCAAAATTAGAGCTTAGTGGCGTGACTATAGTTATAGCACAAAGCTAGTGTGATGCAATTAGTAGCATATCTCTTGGATGCAAACTTTGCTGCAAGGATCAGAGGTTCTTCCTAGAACTAGGCCTTCTGTTCTTCTTTGCGGGATTTTACATCCTAGTTCATGATAACGCTCATCGTTAAGGGCAAGACTATCTAGGTAGGTCTAGAGCGCCTCCATACATACAATACGATCGAGTCACAGTCCCCGCAAAAGTGACTGCGCAGTTGCCCCTGCATAGAACAATGCACGCATGCACCCGATCAGAAGGCACCGAGGACGCATCGTAACACCAGTCGCACAGACACAAGACGCCAAGGATAGCTGGTTCATGGCGTGCTCGGGTTAAGATCTCCAAATTGTACACAAGACCCCGTATCCAAATGTAGTGGTAATAGTGAGAAAGGGACTCGGGGACCAAGACGGAATCCCGAACCAGGCTAACGACACTATACTATATTAGCGGCAAAGGTGTAGCGAGGATAGCGAGGAAATGCGAAAAAGAAAAGAAACCCTCCAGCTGAATCACTAGTACAGATGACAAGATTCTCGTATAAAATAAGCCATACGCCATCCCGTCTAGGCAAGAAGAGGCTGAAACCGATGTTCTCCGAGGAGAAGCGCAATGTACATGCTGTGTAGCAGAGATCCTTGTTCCCATGAGCACGGCTATGCAACCATACCCGGCTGCAGATCTGGCCCTAGCTCAGAGTCAGCTGCTAGAGCTGACCGACGCCACAAATATTTCCTTTTTGCTTCTGCTTTTCCCTGTCGGCTGTTTTTACTCTTGTACGCCGCTATAATATCGAGTATGATAGCCAAGAGAATCTAGTGGTCTTGGATATGTACCTATGTAACCTGAATAGCGGGAGGAATGTCTTCCGGCGGAAAGTGCCGAGGAATGCACCAGGAAGGCTACCAAGCGAGGGCGGAAGATGTACACAAAGATATTTGATACGTCTACGAAAAAAAAGGCCAAGAGTTACATGGGTTGACTCGTGGCACTATATTTTAAGTTAAAGGCGCAGCTCGAAGGAGTACGAAGATATGTACTTTAGTACTTTAGGATATCCCGCTAGACGCGGGCCAACGATAAAGCTCGATGACGTGATTTAGATCTTGATTGCGTCTTTATAAAGTGGATGAATGCATGCAGGGGACAGGGGAAAATACATCTGGATATCTCCTCCGCGGATATCAGATTGAGATACCATATGCTTCAAACCTTGACCGTTAGAGCGGGTGTCCCGGCTACGGCCTTAAATTCCATACGGAGTATGGAGTCCTAAGTTGAGATATCGAGCTTCGCCAAGGTTCTATAAAGCCTATCAGAGTGTAGGTTGTAAAAAGGCAGCGGTCTATGGAGTATTCGGTAACTAACTCCGATGAGAACGGTCCCCTACATAGCATGCATCTAACAGATAGAGTAGTGCCAAGTCCACACGGCAAGGCTTTTTATTTTAAAAGTTATGTATGGATTTCATAAGGAAAAATTTAACGAGTGTAATCAGATGATCAATATAATTTCGATATAATTTCGATATAATTTCGATATAATTTCGATATAATTTAGAATATAATTTAGATCCCGATGTCAGTGTGGAGATGTAAAACTGTCCAAAAGCTATAATTATGTAACTTAAAGAGTCTGGAAATATTAATCAGCACTTGAAACATCAACATCCCAGAAATATCAAGCAAACGTGGAGACTATTTCTTTCCTTTCACCATCTCGCCTCCAGATTGCGTGTTCTGTAAGGTCCGTGATTGGTCTCGTGGCTCCACTTGTTGATCTTCTTGAGGCAAATCTCCTAGAGGCGCGTTGTCATTCGTCATTCATACATCTTGGCACTACGTCGGCTTATCCACCTGGGGAATATTGCTTGTTTAATTGAGAGAGAATGTATATGGAGAAGTACATTCAAGCTATCAGGTGAGGGGAATTGTCATGGGGACAATACATATAGTCTAACAGCTATGGGAGTACTTGAAACGATATAAATCAAGTATCCCGTCTCATCTTTCGACCATGGGCCCCATGTAAAAGAGAGCGGATATACTCCACGACCCATCGTCATTCTTCCAGACCGAGTGGAACCTGCGGATTTCTGCCTCTTCAGTGATCAGCTTGGGATCATCGGTGGAACCGGCATGAAATTCCCCCTTGCTTGAACAACGTGGGCTTTGAGGAACCAGTTTTAATTTTTGTTTGCTTTTATATCGAGCTCTTTTTCTACAATTCTAGCTCGTATCATCCTTGCCTGGATTTAACCCAAGCGAGTTAGCCAAAAATTTTCAAATCTTAATTTGAATCTGGGGAGATATTGCGCCATTTGAGATTGAATCACGCACCCGCATTCTTGACCTTTTTTTTTTTTGCCGCGCCATGCAAAGTGCGTGATCGTCTGATTTGACGTCCTTCTTATATTCCTGATCGTCAGCACTTTTTTTGGTCCTTCCATTACACATCTGTCAACACACATCCTGGTGAAGCTTTGTCTTCCGGCTTTGGATATTATCAACTCCGGTCTGTACAAGCGGGTGGGAAACATGCAACTGCCCAGGACCAAGTCCGAACTGGGCCATGCCCTGGCCAAGGGCCTCGGTATCAAGGTCGCATACAGAGACCCTCTAGGTGCTACTAGTGATCCTGTTACAAGAGGAGAATCAACATTTTCCATGGGCACCGTCGACACATATTCATACAACGAGCCCGAGCCGACAAGCGTCGACTGGATCCGCGAGATCACTCCATCCGGAGCCCAAGTCGGCAGATACTTCCTCAATTTGTTTCCTTTCCTCACCTGGATTGGCAATTACAACCTACAATGGCTCTTCGGTGATCTGGTTGCCGGTATTACCGTTGGAGCGGTCGTTGTGCCACAAGGTATGGCCTACGCTAACCTGGCTGGACTAGAGGTACAGTACGGTCTGTACTCCTCGTTCATGGGAGTCTTGATTTATTGGTTTTTTGCTACATCAAAGGATATTACCATTGGGGTAAGTGATACTGCGACCGGTCGAAACAATGATAACTTTACTGACCTCATTTTATAGCCCGTGGCTGTTATGTCAACTTTGACTGGAACCATCGTGTCCGATGTCCGGGCCCAATATCCAGAGTACCCTGCTCATTTGATTGCATCCGCTCTTGCTGTAATCTGCGGTGGCATTGTTCTAGTGATGGGTCTACTACGTATCGGATTCATTGTCGATTTCATTCCCCTCCCTGCTATCTCAGCTTTCATGACCGGCTCTGCTCTTAGCATTTGCTCAGGCCAGGTTCCCACCATGTTGGGCGAGACAGCCAAATTTAGCACGCGCGGTGCTACCTACGAGGTCATTATCAACACCCTGAAATACCTCCCCACTTCGACCTTGGATGCTGCTATGGGTGTCACTGCCTGTGCAATGCTCTACATTATCCGTTCAGGGTGCACTTACGCCGCGAAGAAGCAGCCTTCTAAGGCCAAGGTTTGGTTCTTTATCTCGACTCTTCGCACCGTATTTGTGATCTTGTTCTATACAATGATCAGTGCCGCCGTTAACCTGCACCGAAGGGACCACCCGGCGTTCAAGATCCTCGGGACAGTCCCCCGAGGATTCCAACAGGCCGCCGTGCCCACTATGGACTCTAAGATCATTAAAGCCTTCGTTGGCGAGCTTCCAGCTGCGGTTATCGTTCTGCTCATTGAACACATTGCCATTTCCAAGTCCTTCGGCCGTGTTAACAACTACACTATCGACCCTTCTCAGGAATTTGTGGCCATTGGTGTGAGTAACCTTCTGGGACCTTTCCTCGGTGGCTACCCCGCTACTGGATCTTTCTCCCGGACAGCCATCAAGTCTAAAGCTGGAGTGCGTACGCCCCTTGCTGGTGTTATTACCGCGCTCGTGGTGCTCTTGGCTATCTATGCACTGCCCGCTGTCTTCTTCTACATCCCCAAGGCTTCTCTGGCTGGTATCATTATCCATGCTGTCGGTGATCTGATCACTCCCCCCAACACCGTTTACCAGTTCTGGCGCGTGTCTCCGCTTGATGCGATTATCTTCTTCATTGGTGTCTTTGTCACTGTGTTTTCTTCTATCGAAAATGGTATCTACTGCACAGTCTGCGTGTCGGTTGCAGTTCTGCTTTTCCGTGTGGCCAAGGCCCGCGGTCAGTTCCTGGGCCGTGTCACTATCCATTCCGTTGTTGGAGACCACCTGTTGGATGGCGATGGAAAGTACGGATCATTCGGAACTAACAAGACTCCTTCCGACGACGAGGATCGTCACCACCGAACTATCTTCCTTCCTATCAACCACACCGATGGCTCCAACCCCGATATCGAAGTGGAGCAGCCCCTTCCGGGTATCTTTATCTACCGCTTCTCTGAAGGCTTCAACTATCCCAACGCCAACCACTACACGGATTCCCTGGTTGAAACCATCTTTAAGCAGACCCGTCGAACAAATCCCAACGCCTACAACAGACCCGGTGACCGTCCCTGGAACGATGCTGGTGCCCGCCGCGGCGGCAAGAAGGGCGGCAACGACGACTCACACCTGCCCCTTCTCCAAGCTGTCATTCTGGACTTCTCATCCGTGAACAACGTCGACGTAACCTCAATCCAGAACCTGATCGACGTACGCAACCAACTGGATATGTACGCCGCCCCCCGCACCGTGCAATGGCACTTCGCACACATCAACAACCGCTGGACAAAGCGCGGCCTGGCTGCCGCAGGTTTCGGTTACCCGACCCCCGTCGCTAGCGACGGCTTCCACCGGTGGAAGCCCATTTTCAGTGTGGCCGAGATCGAAGGCAGCGCCTCAGCCGCCGCCCACGCCGAAATCATCGCCAACCAGCGCGAGCAGTCCCACCGCCGGAGCACGGATATCGAATCCGGCCTCAAGTCCGATTCCAACACCACCGCGCGCGAGACAGAGGGCGTCGAGACCGCATCCGAGAACTCCGACATCATCCGCGAGGACAAGTTCCAGCGTGATATCACGGATAGCAAGGCGTACCAGAGCCGTCCTAGGGTTGCGCTCGTGCAGGGCATGAACCGACCTTTCTTCCATATCGACTTGACCAGCGCGCTTCAAAGTGCCGTTGCCAATTCTTCGGAAGAGATCCCGCATATTGGTTGATTCTTTTTTTTGCGTTTGATTTGAACTGCATTCTCTTGTTATCTGCATGGATCAGTTGTTCCTCCCTGGCTTGGAGGCTGATCTGATTATACCCCGATTATGATTTGTTAATATCATGTTTGCCCGCATGTTTTTATTTTCACATTTTCACCTCCCCTATTTGTCACTTTGCACTATCTATGTCTTTTGCCATGCTGCTGGTCATGGATATCTATCGTGGTGTATTTCTTACCACTATGCACTTGGTTTGCGTGGGTTGTTTATTTGGTCTGTGTCTTATTTGTTAGCCCTTTCGGATCTGGGAAGAAAAGGATTGGCATGGACTTTGCTCCTTGATTTCTTCCTAGAGAGATGCATACCCTTTTCGATTACATCGTTTGATAGACCGCTTGGTGAATACATTTTACCTTATTGTCTAAACAGCCTAGTCCTTTAGCTTAAACCTCAAATTCCGAACCCCTCCCGATGTCGGTAGTTATCTGATCATCGTTCTCCACTGTCATCTCCATTTATTCCGAGGCTAACCGCCATATGCTGAACGCATACTTTGGTCTTTCTAAATACTTACACGATTGATAGTCTATAGATACGTAATTTCATATGTAATTAAGGGATCTGAAGCTAGCAAGTTTACCAAAATAGATAGAATGATGAGTCAGGATGATTTCCTATTCCAAACTAGCGTCTTCCTTGCACATCTATATCTTTCTGTAATGTTGGATCTCATCTCCGTTATATAGTTGCTTTGATTTCAGACAGATTGATCTATATTTCCTGAAATATAACCTTGTAAATACTCGATTTTACAATCCCCCATCTCAACATAAGCGAGGTCAATTAAATGGCCGAGGTTAAACCCATTCAAGTACTGCGAAATACGCCGCATCCACCAGAACGTCACTTTCAGATTTAGTTCTTATTTCTCTTCTCTACCCCAGAGATCTATCATATCTATCATATTATATTCAATTCAAAATGACTCTAAAAGCAGTCAACTGCCTAAGAGGCTCAATGCACCTCAGAACCCTATCTATCCCTGCCCGCATATCACCAATCAAATCATGCATCGCCCAATATAGCTCCCACTCACCAATGGGCTCAACAACCGCCAACACACGCAAAAAAGTAACAATCCAAACCATTCAAAGCCTCTACAAAAAGAACGAACCCATCACAGTTCTCACAGCATCCGATTTCCCAAGCGGCCATGTAGCCGACACAGCCGGAATGGAAATCGTGCTCGTAGGCGACAGCCTCGCAATGGTCGCAATGGGCATGGAAGATACAAATGAAGTAACAATGGATGAAATGCTCCTCCATTGTCGCAGTGTAAACCGTGCTGTCAAGAGCGCTTTTACAGTAAGTGCAACATATACATATGTATCTATGGATGCATACCCCATTCCAATACATACTATTCATACTACTACCCCACCAAAAACAACATCTCACAATCGCATAGATCGCAGACCTACCAATGGGCTCATACGAAACAACCCCAGAAAAAGCCCTCACATCCGCAATCCGGATGGTCAAAGAAGGCGGGATGAAAGGCGTGAAATTAGAAGGCGGGGCAGAGATGGCATCTACAATTCGCAAGATCTCCCAAGCCGGAATCCCTGTTATGGCGCATATCGGATTAACGCCACAGCGCCAGCACTCGCTTGGCGGGTTCCGTGTGCAGGGTAAGTCTGCTGCGGGGGCTGTGAAGTTGCTTCGGGATGCATTGGCTGTTCAGAAGGCTGGTGCTTGTATGGTTCTTATTGAGGCTGTGCCGCCTGAGATTGCGGCGATTGTTACGCGGAGACTGAGCGTGCCGACTATTGGGATTGGGTCTGGGAATGGGTGTTCTGGGCAGGTGCTTGTGCAGGTTGATATGTTGGGGAATTTCCCGGAGGGGAGGTTTTTGCCCAAGTTTGTTAAGAGGTATGCGGATGTCTGGGGGGAGGCCAGGAGGGGGGTTGAGGCTTATAGGGAGGAGGTTAAGAGTAGGGCTTTTCCTTCGCTTGAGTATACTTATCCTGTTTCTAAGGAGGTGGTGGAAGAGTTTGAGAAGATTGTTGATGAGGTTGTTGAGGAGGAATAAATAGGTGTGGGATTGTAATTTGGCTATTTTTGGGTTTGGACGTCTTGGACTGCTTTTCAGGACAATCTGTATATATTATGAACGCCGTGGGCCATATAGTCTTTTGATATCTACCCGACACAGACGATGGCAAGGTAAATTTCAAGCGATCGGCCTACAGATGCGCTTTAGAAGAAAGTATCAATTAAAAGCATGCAATTCAATTCGTACAGAGCATATACAACCCCCAAAACATCATCCAACCCCACCGGCAGCTTTTAAATAGAATCCAAGATCCCAGCTGATATTCTATTCACCTCAGAACACCCCCAACACCAGCCCACCCAAGAACAAACCCACTTAGAGCCTCACTCATAACACCACCGCCAAACCAAACGTCCCTCCAAGCGCCCTTGCGGAGAATCTTCTTCGGACCAGCCTTCCCACCAAGCTGCATGCGCACAGCCTTGCTCTTCTCATCCATATCCAGAACACCCTCAACCTCGCCGGTATTGCTGCCAGGGAAGAAAGACCCGGCACCTGCGCCACCGGAGCGGTGGATCAGAACCGCATGGAAAAGCCCTGATACCAGGATCGTGCCGAGGAAATAGAAGGCGAAGCCGTAGGTTGATTGGAGGGCTAGGATTCCGGCGGATAGGCCGAGGAGGAATGAGGTTAGACTGTGGAGGGAGGAGAGGACCTATTTTCCGTGTTAATTGGTTGTGACATTGGTGTAGGTGGAGGGATGTGGATGTAATGTGGGATAGGGGTGGTTTGGTGGCATGGAGGATGTGGGAAAACCATACGCGGTTGTTGTGCTGGACAGCCTCTGGTACAAGAGGAGTGATTAGCAGGGAGAGTTCCTGCTTTGTTGGTGCCATTTTGGCTCTGATTTGTTGTAGTTGGTGATTGGTTTGAGAGGTCGAGCTATGGCTCTCGGTGTTCGTTGGTGATCACGTCTCAAGCGGAGGTTTGCTGAGTTTGATCAAGATCGCAGTGTTTTATTATTCAATGGCGATAGAATTGTTGCCAGGAGATATTCTCGTGGAGGGCGGGTCACAGCAGCGGCTTGAACAGAGGTCGGAAGTGGCAGCGAGTTTCTAGAAGTGCACGGGCCACATAGGTCTTTCATCTCTCCAGATTGATATCTCAATACTTCAGACTGTCTATAACTACAAGACCACGACTTTGTATGTTTTAACGTAAATCAAATCAATCATGTTCATATCTACTATTAACCCGAATCCAATGTTCAATAATCCCGAGCCTTTCTCATGAATCCGTTCACATCACAGCGTTTGATACATTCAAGTCCCCATGTCCTCGATTATGTTGTAAACATAGTAGAAAGAAAATGCCAGTTCCATTATGCCGCTGGGTTTAAATTCAAATATCACATTAAACCAGATTTTCAAGTTTACCATCAACACGGGCCTCCTTGACCTGCTCAAACACCTGACGAAAATGTTAGTGGATGATCGGAATCAAATATCAAGCAACCCTTACCTTAAGCATTTTGTTGCGTGCACCCAAAGCGTTGACACCGCGATCTTCCAGGGCCTTGTCATCCAGCTCAACCAGTTCTGTCCACTGGAGGTCCTTCAGGTTGTCGGTGTACTTGTGCAGCCTGAGGGATCGCAGCCAGCTGGGGATATCCTTCAGAAGAGCCGGGTCCGTGGGATCCTCAGGCGGCTTCGAGCTGCCACGGCGACCCCGCGGAGAGCGGCCTCGTGTAACCTCCGAGTGGTCTGACAGGTAGCCTTCACTACCCAGGCCAAACTGTCCAATGTTCAAAGAACCCAACCCATTGCCCATAAGAGGGTTGCTGGGATCGTACGCGGCCAAGAATCCATTGTTCTGCGGTGAGGTGAAGCCCATAGGGGTCAAGCCACCACCGTGCATAGCAATACCGGGCGAGGTTGGGCGAGACCGTCTACCGGCCATGGCCGCCTGTTGCTGAGCCTGCAAAGCTGCCAGCTGCTGAGTGTTGAGAAGCTGACCGGCCACCAAGTGCTGTCCACCAAGGCCTGGGCTAGCCAAGCCCTGGGAGAGCATCGGGTTTCCATGTGAATTCTTGCCCTGTCCATCATTAGAGCGAGCACGGCGGTACTTCCGCGCGTCATCCAGAGCAATGCGGTTGTTCACCGTCGACAAAGCTGCCAGCTTCATTGCCGTGGCGTTAGCCACCATATCCGCATGGGTGTTCGGATTCTGGTGCGATTGCTGACCGAAAGTCGCAGTCATCGGGGTGTTGGTCATTGACGCCCAGCTGTGGTTGCCGACGTTGTATGGCGAAAGCAGGGGGGGCTCAATGTCGGGTGCGGGAATATTGGCAGTTTGAGGCAGAGGCGAGCGCATGCCAGAGGGCTGGCTGAATTGGCCCATAGGCTGGTGTCCGGAGGATGACTTAGGCCGAGCGATCGGAGGCTGCGTGTCTGAAACACCACGCTGGGCCCACGGAGAGCCGGGTTGTTGACCCAGGGCGTCCGAATTGTTATCAGGCGCCGAGATGGTGGGGGCCACAAAAGAGGCACGATCGAAGACGGCGCTATTGCGGTTCGACGGAGGTGCGTTGCCAGTTTGCTGGGTGAATTCGGCCTTCTTCTTCGCAATGGCCGCAGCAGCATCAGGGAACATCGCATTGATGGTAGAAGGGTCGAGGACAGAGTTGCGCTTTGCGCCAGGAGATGGCGGGGGTCGTCCGAGGGAGTTCCGGGAGGAGGTGTCCATATTAAGTTTCGACATGGCATCGCTTAGACGGCTGGACATAGCATCTACACGACGAACAGAAGGTTAGTTACATCCGAAAGGTGATGTGGACAGGTCGCTGTACCCTTTTCGCCGAAATTGGCAGGGGAGAGCAGGCCGGACATCGGGTGGCCCTGAGACATTTGCTGCAGGACTTGGATGAAAAACCGGATCTGCACCTGAGTTGTCTGCTGCAGCAAGGCGTATAGGGCCGCAGTTCTCTCGGCTTCGCTCAGAACACGGAACCACTGCTCGATGGCACTGAGTTCATCCTTAAAGTCCTGATCAAGCGTGGCAGCTGCCATTTCCTCCAATGTAGTTTCATACTGATCAATGTCTGCAAGCCATTGTTGAGCGGCACGGTCCAAAGCATCTTCTGTCGCATTCTGACCTTGGGTTTGTTGATTGAAAAAGACCTCGGATGATGGACGGATGCTTCGGGCGGACAGCGGCGAAGGAAACCCGGACATGTCTGCCGACGCCCGCAGCTGGTGCGATCCGAGGTTTCGCGATGAGGATGGAGGACGGAGAGATGAATTCGAGGCTTCAGGGGTGCTGTTGCGATTGCCAATGAGATGACTGGACATGGTTTCAGGCGACTTGTTGAGTGGATGACTAGTAAATACAGTGGGGGAAATGATTACTGCAAAACACCTGCAGCACCTGCTGAGTTTGCGTGGAAAAATAGAAGCAAAAAAATCCTTCGAACCAGGATCCAGGCCAAGATCCTAAGGTATCAGACGCTGAAAAGATCCAGATCTCAGACGATGGCACAGACCAGTCCAGTGGGCTGCACCTCGGAAATTTGAGATAGAAAAATTAAGGCCTGGAACGAAAGGAAATTGAGACTTGAAGCAATAGTGTGTCAAACACAGTCAAGCCACGTAGTCCCAAAGAAAGAGGGAAAGGAAAGAAAAGGGGGGGAGAGAGGTGGAGAGAGAGGAAGAGAGGAAGAGGAAAGTTGGGGATTGAAGAAGTTTGGTGGAAGAGGCTTTTCTGTTTCAGGCCGCGAGATCACGGGTTCACCGAGAAACCTCACAACATTCTTTCTTGACTTCTCCATATCTCTCAGGTTTTTAGTCTTGATTCTTTTACTCTATTCATTTCTGTTCTGCCTTTGGTCAAATTTTGAATATTTCTTTAGCCTGGTGGAGACAGTTACTATGAATATCTGCCGAGCCCAGACCTGAAACGTTTTTAGGGTGCACTCCCAACTATACTGGATTGATAATGAACTCCCTTGATCCACATTTCTGATGATTGTCTCAAGTTCATACACAGTGAGACACACTTTTGAACTTTGAATCAGTGGCCATGAGTTCCCAGCATTACCATGATGAGATTCCGGATGAGGAAATGCAGGGGCCGGCATATCCAGATCCTGGTGAAAATATTCACTATCAATGGCAAAATGATCAACCTTCAAATTTTGACGTTGGGGAAATGCTTGCTTCGGTGATTGATCCTCGCTTGTTTGGGGACCAAACAACACAAGCCCAACCTCAAAGCATCAATCAATATCGTCAAGATCTCAACGAAAGTGAAGGCGAAGTCGAAGAGCAAGAGGCCGGTGACCTCTACCCGGATGAATATGGCATACAAGCATATCCTCCCGTGCCTGGCGATGGAGACGCGTCAGACGAGGATTATGCTTTATCTGGAGAGGAAAGCGAGAGGTATGTATGCTGAGATACTGCATGTCTAACTTTAGTTAACACAATAACCAGCGAGTCTGATGAAGACGAACCAGCGGAAGATGATGACGACGATCGTTCAGCCGCCAGCAGGCGCCGTCGTCGTGGAGGTGGACGGTTTTCTGGAAGATATGGCGCTCGTGGTGGAAAGGGTATCAGAAGAGGACCACGCAAACCCCTAGAGCCCAGTCCAGAATTCAAACATCTTCATTCGGGGGCTACCTCTGCCTTCATTGATGGGGACTATGAACTGGCCATTGATCTTGTGATGCAGGCGATTCAGATTAACCCTGAGATCTTTGCTGCCCATTCTTTGCTCTCTGAAATTTTCCTTGCACAAGGAGAAAATGATAAAGCCCTGACAGCTCTTTTCAACGGAGCTCATACGAGACCGAAAGATCCCGGTGTCTGGGTCAAAGTTGCTCGGCTCATTTTGGATCGCGCCGGAGAGAATCGGCAATCCGCATTGCATGATGTTGCTTATTGTTACAGTCGTATCCTTGAGGTCAGCCCCGACAACACCAACGTTCGTTTCCAGAGAGCAGCGATCTATCGTGAACTAGGTCACAACGGCCGAGCTGCAGCTGAGTATGAGAGACTACTCAAGGACTGCCCACACAGTGCCAGAGCACTACGCCATCTTGCAGAAACGTACATTGATCTCAAAGACGTACAAAAAGCAGCAGACTTTTATGCCGACAGCATTGATCACTACTTATCTCTCGACCCTGAGGCCTCTGGTTTCACCTGGTCGGATCTCAATATCTATGTTGAGCTTTTTGGCTATCTCAAACAACCTGAAGAAGGACTCATCTCATTAAAAATCCTAGCACGTTGGCTTCTAGGTCGCGGAAAAGATACAATATGGGACGCCATTGACGATGACGATAGAGAATGGGACGCTGATGATTCTCCTCGACGCATCAAAACCGATGGTTTTATGCCCGGTCAGTGGCCTCGAGAGTCATACGGGCTTGGTCTCCCGCTGGAGCTTCGGATAAAAATGGGTGTTTTTCGCCTGAAATTGGGCGACAAGCATCACAGCGAGGCATTGGTGAGTTTTATCCCAGATAACAATCATGTTGGAAAAAATTACTGACCGAATACAACCAGCATCACTTTGAATGGCTCAACCCAGACGATGATTCCGAAGGTGCCCGGATTTACGACTACGGTGACCTATTCAGGGAAGTCGCAGATGCTCTAAAACAAGTCGGCCTCTTGGAGGAAGCACTCCGATACTATACGCCCATCCAGCAGACCGCTGAACATGCTGACATCGGCTTCTTCATGGCCATGGCTGATTGCTGTATGCAGTTGGGCAAGATAGAAGACGCTGAAAGTTGTTATCTACTTGTCGCTGAACACGATTCTAGACATATGGAGTCGCGAGTGCTACTAGCGAAGCTATATGAGAGCCTCGGGATGAGCGAACAGGCTATGAAGTATGTCAGTGAGGCAGTCCTGATCGGTCGGCAGGAAAATCGCAGCCGGGGAAGGAGAAAGGACACTAGGCTTGAACAACTTGCCATAGAGTTCAAGATGGCTGCGTCAGAACCCCTCCGACCGCTTGCACCCAAACCAACACAGGCAGCAACACTTATGAATGCGCCTCCGGCCCCTGGCAAAGGACGGGCGCAACCCGGCGAAGGTACTCGGACTGATGATATTCAATTCTTGTACGGGAAGTTGTTGGAGTTGGATCCCCAAATCAAAGACGGGGACCCTGTAGCCATTGAAGATTGGCTTGACATTGCTGATGCTCTGTTGCGAGATTTCAAAAACAATCGAGCATTCTATCCGATGGATCGAAGTATTGCCTTTAGGGGATATTCGACTGGTGTCAAATCGAAGAACCCGACAAAAAGTGGCACAATGATGGATGAAATGCAGCAAATGGCGAGCCGTCTTCAGCAAACTATGGGTATGTCACCTCAGTCAATCCATCCATACACACTTTGTTAATGTTATATTTAGGAGATGTCACGGAAGAACCCTTGCAGGGCGCCATTCCCACGGACTACCATGGTATACCATTTGATGAATGGCTTGACATATTCCTACAGTACGCTCTACTTGTAGCAGAGCAAGGCGAGCCAGAAGAAGCTTATGAAACCCTTGACTCTGCGGCGCTTGCAAGCATCTGGTTGCACTCTAAGCCTAAGTCCCGATTGATTCATGTTTGCTGGTTCAGTAGGTCCATCCAATTCACTGCCAAGCGATTCTATACTGACACGTTTATAGCATGTGCTCTCCATGCACGAGACGAAGAAACACTGGCCAATGAAGCCCGCTGGTTCATCAAAGAATACCAGTTTGTCACCGACACTTATCGACTTTTCTCTATGCTTGGCCACCTATGTGGCGACCCTCACCGATCTCTTTTCCATTCCTCTGGAAACATGAAATTCATGCTTCGCCAAGTCAAGGCGATAGATTTTACGGTACCACAAGATACCCCTCGACCCATCCGGCAATCTGTCTGGAAAGAGCGCGCCACTCTATCCACACGGGACGAAGCCGGTGAGCCCATCACCGCGAAAGAATTGGATATCGCTCTTCTTGTGCTTTATGGCCACATGCTGTACTCCGGAAACAGTTTCTACCCCGCGTTGAACTATTTCTTCCGAGCATACGCCCTAGATGACCAAAACCCGGCCGTTCTCCTTTCCATCGGACTCTCATTCATCCACCACTCACTGAAAAGACAGTCCGAAAATCGTCATTACCTTATCATGCAGGGACTATCCTTTATGCATGAATACCGGCTGGTTCGGGAGAAGCCGGGAACTCTCCTAGCCGAAAAACAGGAGATGGAATTCAATTTCGCTCGTGTATACCACTCGCTTGGTCTAGCCCACCTTGCCGTCGAAGGGTACGACCGTGTGTTGAAGCTCGGCGAGCAGATTCAACAAGAGGCTAAACAAAAGTCTCTTGAAGAACCGACATCTACAACCGATGGAGCTGATGTGGTTATGGGCGATGTTGGCCAACCCCAGCCCATTCGCCAACGTTTTATTGAAGATTTCTCCCCCGAGGCCGCTTATGCCCTGCAGTGTATCCATGTCCTCAGTGGCAATGCAAAGGCTGCAAAGGCTGTCTCAGAAAAATGGCTTGTCATCTGATATCAGTTTGTTTCTACGACAGTGGCCTACTTTCTTGACTATTTGTTGTAAAAGCTAATGTATCTTTTATAATATGTATATTATTAGTTAATCTCAAAGATATTTCAAACAAGCCTTTTTATGTATCAAAGTAAAGTTGACAGCGGAACTCCCCGATAAGAATGTGGGGGCCAAGTGCGGAAATGGCGTTACATTGAGATTCTTCAAATTGATAATCAACATCTCACCGGGGGCACACCTTCAAATATATATGCACCTTATAACTTCGGCCTCTTATTGCCCTAAAAATGCTGAGTCTGCAGAGGTGATAGTTTTTTTTGAGCTGTTCCAGCCCAATCTGACATAGATCCCCTCGAAGCCTATGTTTATGCCTTTCGGTCTTGTTGATGTCATTGAGTCAATAAGATAGAGAAGAGCATACAGCGAGGATCTCAGGCCCTAGCAAATGACTGCAGAAAGCACCCAAAGAGTGGGAAACCATTCCAGCACTCAAATTGAAGGCCCTATAGAACTATTGCCGATTACCTCGACACACTCCAATTCCCCTACAGTCCAAGAGTTCGAAGAAGACGAAAAAGGCCACGATACAAATGTTCAAAGCACGACAGAAGAGCCAATTGGGAAGGGAAATCATTTGAAACGCTTTGTCGATCTCATTTTATGGACACCGCCACGATGTCGATGGGATGTAGAGAACCCGAGCAAATTCGGCTTACCTTTGAACCTTCTGTTCGCATTTTCGGGCACTTTCACGGTATGGAATAGAAAAATATTGAAACATGCCATAATCGTTGCTAATATAGTGGTACAGGTTGCCAATCTATACTATTCACATCCCATTCTTGATGTTCTTGCTCAATTCTTCAACGTCTCACATGAGCGAGTCTCATTGATCCCGACCTGCAGCCAGGCTGGGTATGCGACGGGATTAATCCTTCTTTGTCCTCTTGGGGACTTAGTTCGGAGAAGACACTTCGTTTTGCTGTTGACGCTGATTACTGCGGTATTATGGATTGGTATCTGTGTCACCGATTCATTCGAAACATTCCTTGTTCTAAGTTATCTGTCTTCAGTCACAACTGTTACTCCAGTAAGTGATTCCAGACAAGAATATCCAAGACTCTACCCTGAACACAAATCTTATTATCTATACAGCAAATCATGCTCCCTCTCGTCGGAGATCTCGCTCCCCCAGCTCGCCGCGCAACAGCCCTATCAATTGTATCTTCAGGACTCATGCTAGGCCTCCTATTTGCCCGTCTACTGTCCGGTATAGTCGCCGAATACTCGCACTGGCGAAATATCTATTGGCTATCCCTAGCCCTCCAATTCCTCATTTTCACCCTTCTATGGTTATTCATGCCGGACTACCCATCAACAAACACCAACATCTCCTACTTCAAGATCCTATATTCCATCATCGGATACTTCTGGACATCCCCGGAGCTTGTCCAGGCTACTCTCATGGGACTCTTCCTCTCAGCCACATTCACCAGTTTCTGGACAACACTCACCTTCCTCCTATCCGGGGCCCCATACAACTACCCAACCCTGACAATCGGTCTATTCTCTCTGGCGGGTCTTACCCCCATGTTCCTAGGCCCTCCTTACTCACGCTACATGATCGACAAATTCGTACCGCAGTTCTCTGTTCTCGTTAGTCTCGGCATCCTCATCGTCGGCGTCAGCATCGGTACCTATACAGGCACGTTTACTGTTGCGGGCCCGATTATTCAAGCTGCGTTGCAGGATTTTGGTCTTCAAATGACGCAAATTGCCAATCGCGTTTCGATTTACGCTGTTGCCCCCAAGGCGCGGAATCGCATTAACACGGGATACATGATGGGCGTGTTCTGTGGTCAGCTCATGGGTACGTCTGTTGGGAATCGTCTCTACAGTGAAGGCGGGTGGATTTTGTCGGGAAGTGTCAATCTGGGGTTTATTGGGGCGGCGCTGATTATTTGTCTTCTTCGTGGTCCGGCTGAGAAGGGATGGATTGGATGGCATGGTGGTATTCGCATCCGGCGAACAGAGTGATGTCCTGCTGTGCTTGAATTTTTGGTTGCACGTACATTTGTTCCTGTTGATATTCTTTGCATTATAGAATATACATAGAAACTTGAAAAGTATTAGATTATACCAACTTTATGAGACAATGATCACCAGTGCACATTATCAGTAAGCGTATATAGGAGAACCATGGTGGCTATCTAGTTATATGCATGGGCACGGTCTTCGAGTCTATAGAGCACTGCGCAAAATCCAACCCTATATTGCTACGAGCAAATATGCCAAACTGTTACCAGCCTGGAGCTGCTTTTGTTACGCTTGATAGATCCGAAATGAATTAGATAAACGCTTGTCTACTTATATGTACGATGACGCTATCCAGTCCATTTTTCAATTTGAGGCTTGCAGACTAATTCAACACCGTTATATTGTTTCGTGAACCCATATAGTTCATTAGTACAAGGGTCGATCACACGCTTCTACCTACCTAAGCAGGACTATGATGTCAGCCTTCTCTAGTTCAGTCCCTTCAAACATAAGCCGCTTATCTTCATTTGTGAGTTCAAGGTGCATTCATATAACCGCCGAGAAAGGGTTGGGGTGCAGGAGGTACGTGTGTAGGTTTCGATGATCTACATCTGGATGAAGACGAAACCCGAAAAAACCCCGAGTAACTGAGCGTCAGGTTAATCAGTATTTGCAAAATATCAAAACAGATTTGGGTAATTTAAAAAAGCCACGTAAATTTCTAGTGCTGAGAGATCATTTTTCCCGGTGAAGCTAACGGGCTGATGTCACTTTGGAGGCTCCCCCCGCTCAGCCAAGCTGAATTTCAGCAGATGGTCCTTGATATTTTTATTTGTAGATTATGCCGAGATGAGGCGCTGCGTCAGAATATCGTATCTCAAAAGTTTAGTATTACTACATCCGAAACTATTTATACACAGCCTACCTTGACAAAAAGAAGAAAGAATCGAACTTGTCATATGACCTAGCTCAAGCGGGCCAAAATAACAAACGAAGCCAAAACGATCAAATGCAGATCAATAAGACACAAGACACCTTGCTATGCTGATGAAGTGGGGGAAGGAAGAAAACGCAAAGACACTATGTAGACAAGGATAACGGGTGTATTATCCGAAAGTGCCCGCAGAGACCGGCAAGTGGCGCCTGTCATATTGAATATCCAACGTAGTGGGAAGGATAATGACGAGAGATAGGGCTGCAGCTGCCCTGAAGGAGAAAGGCCCTAGTCTGAGCCATAAACTTTCATGAGCCGCTCGAGCCGACTGTATTTTTATCAGATGACCATGGCGTCTTCGTCCCGATAGTAGTCCGCATCGTCAAAGAAAACGGCGGTCTGGCGTCCTATTTCCTCGATCACGCTTCCTTGCCGGGAGTTTGGGGTATGGGGACGCGATGAGTTGGTGGATTGGGACATGCTATCTGACAACTCAGCGAAGCGCGACTCGCTCTTGTAGTCAGACCCATCGCGCTCAGGGAGATTTTCATCTAAACGCTCGACCATGGAGTCTGCATTTTCATCTTCTCGCTTGTGGAGTCGACGAGAGAGAATCGGAGAGAGCGCACGTCCACCCATTCTGGATTCTTGGAGTCCTTTCATGATCGCATTCTCGATTTTAAGTCGGTTTTGGATAAATTGAATCTTGGAGAAAGTGCTTTGTTGGCCGACATGTATCATGCGGGCGAGCCTTTCGGGGCTAGGATCAGAAAGAATGTGGATGAAATCGGAGGGAATGGATTTTGGCCAGATAGTCACAGTGCCACTGAACTTTTGCAACCAGATCTCGCTCCAGTCTTGACCCATAGGTCGTGGGAGAAGCTCTAGATGCCGAAGAACGCGAAGCCATTTGTTGAGATCTAATTTGATGTACTGCTCAATTGCAGTGCCGAGGAAGCCGCCGCGCCAACCACGGCCCTTGCGATGTGTGACTGGTCGCCCTACTGTCCCTCTAGAACTAAAGAAGAAGAGGTTGATGTGGGGGTTCACCTAGGTAGTGTTAGTGGTAAAATAGTAACAAGGATGAAATTAATCTTACCTGGGATACGATCGTAAAATTGACGTTGAAATGCAGGTTCAACGCTTTGATAGGTATGTCAGTCCGCAGGCTGCCATCCTTCCACTTGTGGCCGAACGAATAAGGGGCGAGAGTGCCATCACGCTTTTTAGTCATTAATACAACAGGGTTTAAAATGCCTGGAACAGCCGCCGATGCAAGCACGGCACTCCATATGACGCAATCAGGACATGTCAGATAATTGGCTAGGATAGTCGGTGAATGAGGATCTGAGGGCACGCAGGTGACATTCAAAATACGACCGGTCCGCTCATAAGCTTCGCGAAAGGTCGTTGAGCCTCTACAGAACCAGGCGCATTGCCGAGCCCAATCCAGTGTATCGAACCGAGCACCAGTTCGCCACCAGCGATGAACCCAAGTTGCCAACCCTTCGTGACATGCACGAATCCGATGCGCTAAAGCTGGAACGAGCAGCTGCTTCAGCTCATCATCCGTCCGAGTCGCGACTAGTCCCGCCACCAGGGCTCCGCCTGACGTGCCGGTTATGATTTCCGGGAGAACATCATTATCCAGCAGCGCTCTTACAACTCCAAAGTGGTAGTAAGCGAATGTAGCCCCACCCGAAAGACAAAGAGCGGTGCGTCCGAAGTTCGTATCGAGGTGTTTGAAAAGCTGATACTTGGAATCCCTGTCCATCTGCTTATTGTCCAAAATGATCTGTATGCACGCGTGCACCTCATCGATATATTCCTGAACCAGCTCCTTGGTTCCCGAATAGGTCTCGCTGTATATCCGAGGATTTTCGACTCCGGAAAAGTTGTTTTTGACGCAAGCCTCCAAAAGCGCTCGCAGATCTTCAATGGCAGGTACTTCGCTGGAGCCGACCCGACCATTTTTTATTTCCCATTCTGCATCCTTCCTCAGCTGCTTCAGCTGCGATACCACTTTGTTCACGGTGAGATGGTCGTAGTAAGCGTATTCGTCTGTCTTTTTCCACTTTTCGGTTCCGAGATGGACGTCCAGCGCCTGGGCCGCTTTCAACCAGTCGGGATAGTTTTTCTGTGCAGATAGCTCTTGACGCAGCCTTTCTCTCTTCCCCCTCCATGTCACCCACTGCTCATACAATAATATGTATACTCGAATCAGAGCGTAGCCAAAGCTCAGTACTGCGAGCCATGCGAATACAATGAAGAGGAAGGGCCATTTCAAAACAGAATATAGCACTCCTTCCCGCGTTTCGTCTTTGCTTCGCTTTGGAGTTTTGCGACGGCCTCGACTCTTGCGGACTCTTTGATTGATCGGACGCCAGTCGTTGATGGCTGTCAATGGGGAGGCTTCTGGGGCATTTAACGCCTTCTCGAATCGGTCGAGTTCATCGGGCTTAATGAAGTCACGGTCATAGTCAGGGAGACAAGCCGGATCGTAAGGGTCGTACACTGTAGATTTCTTCTCAGGGGTCATGTTCAACACATTCTGAATACACCAACGAAGATGTTGAGAGCCACGGAGGTACCTGGAAATCCGGTTGGGGAAGCTACGTCGTATGATGACGTTGGTGTCACGTGTAGCTTATCTCCGCATTGCGGCTAGTGTGATTCCAGAAAAAGCTAGTCTCGTTTTCTATTTGCTGAGTCATCCAGATCTTGCCCCGCCAGATAAGAAATAAAAAACATCCCTTAACCATGGATACCTCGGTAGCTAACCAGCAATTGGTTCCAATACAGAACTTTGTTGTTCTCGCAAAAATGAGGAATTGTGTAGATCTACAAGAAGCAATCTATTTAGGATAGAATGTGTCATGACTACACAATTTACAATCTCGACATTCTTCGTATCGAGAGTGAATTGACTTTGAGAAACTATGGCAAGCATCATCCCACCTTGTGGTGCTGCGGCATTTGAGTACAACAACGCCGTAGGCCGTGCGACGGCATCGAAAAAGTCCTTGGAATGTACCCCTCCATGCAAGACTCCGGAAACAATTGACACCCCTTCATGCAGTAATCTCTTATTCAATGGCTCAATGCTCAATTAGCGGGGTCATCGCGCTCACCTCGTGAGGCCAAATGCGAGATTTCTTTTGTTCCGGCTCAAAGAATCAGACTACAGCTCACCGCTACATGCTAGGCAGCGCGAATATCAAGAAATATGTCAGTGTCCTCCCGTGATTGGTAGTCACCTCGGGAGAGTTTGTTTGTCGCAGCCGAATTGGAGGCCTAGGAAAGCCTCCTATGGGCTGGCGGCGGGGGTCAACTGTACTTTAGCCGTATGCACCAAAGACCGGGAAGCGCTTTGTGCTCGCGATATCGGACATAAGGTACGAAGCAGTAGATCGGAAAAACGCTTTTGATATTATACGACAGGGAGGCGTCATGTCAGTCACCTGATGTAAAAAACGGCCCCTTAATCACATATCGAGGATGATTTGCATCGAACTAAATATCCTTAGCGTCGTCACAGGCTGCAAGCCTTGTCCATAATTAGACTCGTTTAGGACAGGATATCCCGCTTTTTTCTTTTAGTTGTGTTCGTCTTCAATGCTGATCACGTTGATCAGCCTGCTAAATCCTTAAATGTCAATGTTAAAAAAGCAAACATGCTGTAATTCATCGCTACTTTGCGATTATATACTCGCTTGTACCAGCGAGGTTCACGCATCATTTGCGCAAGCCTTCGACTTTTATCCTAGTAATACACAGAGCAGTAAGATCATTTATTGTCCCGTGTTGCGCGGTAGCCGCTCAGTATATTGTATTGCTTTAGCCTTTTGTGACATCCCTGAACGTGCCGGGAGGGCCGACTTTAAGTGCGGACTCATGTCAAGGTTACCATGTTCTCTCCAATGCCCCGCTCTTGAAAACAAGGAGACCTTGGCATTCTTGCTATCTTCCATTTCGAACTCGAATTATCATTCCCCATTTGGCCCTATGCAGATCATGGATCTTCTCTCGCGAAATTTGTGGCGTTGGGGCCTGTGAGAAAGCTTTC